TCTAGCTTCAATTGACTCATGATTTCGACCAGTGAAATTTCTTTACTAGTCAAAATTGGAATGACAATATATATATATATATATAACTTGAATGTGGTTTTCGCATTGTGAAACACACTGGTCATTTATTATTTCTAGTAATTAGAATGTAAGTGATTTTCATGTAAAGCCCAACGAACCAAACAATGGAACTATGAAGAAGTGGCTTATATTAAGTCACTAAATGTCACAAATACAATTTTCTATTCATTAGAATATCACAAAAAATATATCTATTATTAACTTTCTACCCAATGTTCAATTTCTTTGATAATATCAAGTTCAACTCACGCCATTGATACCTATAGAATAATAAACAGTTTGTAGATTTTCTCTTATTTACCATATAGTTAAGTTGAACTTACTATTCTAAATGTAACAGCCTAGATTGAGGCACAAATAAGTCAGATTGTATGTTGTTTTTTCTGTAACTGTGTTAGTTTTTTTACTATTGGATATTGAGTTGAAAAAAGGCGTGTTACTATCAACATAACATTGACAACCATAAACTATGTTACAAGTAATCTCTTTTTAATTGTTGAAAGAAACTTTCTCGCTGATATTTGGTCAACCATTTAAACAAATATCAAAAATTAAAACCTCATAAATCTGATCATTTAATATATTGAATTGATATAGGAAATTGAAAGTAATTACATAACTTGTAGATTATTTACATCGAATTAAGTACCATATTTTATGTATTATGCTGATCATTAACATAGTCTTGACAATTTACATTACCTATTCAAGTAAGGCAAGTTGTAGATGAAGAATATCAACAGATCTATAACTTAGTTTTGAATTGTTGAATATTATTTTAAAATATATTTATCTGAAGTGACAGTAATGCTTACAACTAGATCCACACATTTGAAAATAGTTCATGTGAACACATGGATCATCTTATCATTTTTAGACGTAAACTAGTTCGTAATTAGTATTGCTAGATAGGAACTTTATGTATGATAATTTAAGATATTATGTTGTATATTGTGCCTAGAAACTTGCTTGTATATTGAACAGAAAGAAGTTCTAGTAGTTAGCTGATAATCGTCGGAACAGTGATATCCCACAGTGAAAATCAAACTTTAATGAGAACTGTACTTTTCCTAGAGATAATAGTATATAATGCTGATAACTGCCAAGCGAAATGATAAATGAAGCTCAAAGTCTTTTGCCGAATGCGTCTAAGTCAACTTTAATTAATATCACTGTAGTGGAGAAGTAGAAAATGTTGCTAACTAACTAAACAATCACTTGAAAATCAGTTGTTTTGTACTTATTTAAAGCCTTTAAATCGTGTGCAATCATGATTTTGCCGTGGTGAAGAAACGAGAACTTTTCAGATTTCGCGTTGATTGTATTTTGGGATCATATTAGTCAGAATCTAATGACACATACTTTCAAATATGATAATAGATTTAATGTCCGGATTTGAAAAAGCTGTTATCTTATTCATTAAAATAACAACTATGAGCGAACAGTATTATTTGTAATTATATACTCATTAGCCTTCATCTTAATTCGCAGTCAGATTTGCATAAATACCTTAAGAAGCCACTCAAGATCAATTACTAGTCAATAATAAAAATGAGGTAGATTACGTGACTAAGCAGTGTGTTAAAACTATTATTACCTTGAGAGGCGTACTAATAAGAAAAATATCATCTTGAATAAATAAAGATGGATGGTAGCGCACGTTTCGTTTTATTTAGAACTCGTCAGCTGGATGTACCTGCATCCCAAAGTTGATGTTTTCTCTGGGACTCGAAACCAGTACCACTCGCTTCAAACACCATCGAGTTATCCACTTAACTACTGAATAATGATAGCAACTTGTTTGTGCAATGAAGTGAAATTTAAATTCACTTGGTATTGTTTACTTGAATCTTCCGATTGATGATTAGGACTGCAATTGATCAGTTTCTTGTTGGCGTGTATGCACTCTGTACGAATCACCTCGATATTGCCTTAATTCACAAGCATTATAAGCAAAGATATGTGGTGGCTAGCAGTGGATTCCAGAACATTGGTTTTGTCTTATTTAAGAATCATCCGATGGATATACCTGCTGATCAATTGCAGTCCTAAACATCAATTGGAAGATTCAAGTTAAACAATATCAAGTGAATCCAAATATAATAAGTTCATTCGTGCTCACCCAGTTTGTTTAAAATTAATTCAAATGCTTCTAATTATCTTAGAAGAGTACTGAGGATTTAAGATTTGACCCAAATTATCACACTATATCAACACAACCAGAGGCAAGTACGAAGATGTATAGCGTACTACTAGTAGTACCAATTGTAGCAAAAATGTTTGGGCATAGAGAGTATACCTCAAGAGAGACAGAGTTCTTCGAATAAAAGGTTAAGAATGACTACATTTGAGCCACGTCATTCAACATATCCAACTACTCCTTAGGGCAATCGCGTTGAACTCAAATAAATAGATTGCACCTACAAAAGTGGGTCAGAATAACAGTCTATGCTCAACATCTTAGCACAAAAATACCTACATCATATATATTCCATTAGGAAAATGACCAAAGTTTATTTTAAATAAAATTACATTTTGTGCTTCACAGAAAAGAACAATCAGCTAGACAGATTTCCAAATTTACATCTACTTGTTTGCTATCGGAAAGCAGAAAACTACTTATCAAATATAAGCATTACTTCGTTATTTAGTGATGGTTCAGATAAAAACGGAGACACCAGTTATTTCAGTGATAACTATCATGTTTCTTTTAGCAGTAATATATTTTTATTGATGTGATTTAAAAAAACTTAAAGTGAAATATTTCAGTAAACTAAATATCAATGTACTGAGAATACATTAGAAATGATTAGTGGAGGGAATTTTGTATTATTGAAATGTTCGATAATTGATTTTGCTTTACTAGTGATGCATTTCTCGACACATAAAATGACAGCTATCACAAAATTATGGCCATATGTATTTGACACAGAGCCATACTCTTCATGTGAACATTGCTTAACGCAAAATTACAATGTCTTCGTAAAATATAAAAACCATACATTCAATATTGTATCTGCACATCTTACATCAATTACAAACTTAATCGTTCCTTCATTCCTGCTGTCTTCAATTCAACCTTCTGTTGCTATTTATTCAACATTTGAATGGTGTTACATACTACTTATATCCGTTAATACAAATAGTATATACTAAAACCTATAATCAACTAGTTAAAAGAAAAGTGCTTTAATTATCAAGCTATCATTGCACAAAATCTATAGTCCTAAAAAATATACATAATTTGAAAAGTTTTAAAAATTCTAGTGTTCTTTTTTTCTCTATTTTAGAGTATATTAATTGAAATATCTGAGATTTTGTTATAGTTAATGCCTACAATATTATTCATCATATGATTTGTTTGTATTGTAGGTACTCGTTCATTATTCACAGTTAATGCACTGCCGAGTTCCATAATAGGACGAAACGGCCGTCCAGTGCTTCCAGGTTTTCCATGGTGGTCTAGCTTCAACTCATGATCTTAATCATTAAAATAATCTAATTAAATTTAATTGAAAACTTTGAAATTATGATATTACTTTGAATGTTACAAGGATTTCGAACTAAGATTTTTAAAATAATGTTTTCCACTATAACAAACTAATCGTATTTAATATAATATTGAATTGTAGCCTTGTAGACGTTCATATGAGAGAATTTATAATTAATTAACAAAAACTGTTAATAAAGGTTCGAATGATCCTTTTGTTGATATGAAAGATTGGGTTTTAATCAATCTCAGTTGACGTATATATATATATATTGGTCAGTATTGGAATCCAGGACGTGAGTTTCATTCTTATTGAAACTTGTCAATGGACTATACTTGGATTGCAATCTTAATATTCACATTGGTAATTGAACCCAATATCCTTTGCTTCAAGCTCCAACATGCTATTCACTGAGCTTGAATGTAAGCACATTCAGCTGATGAGTCCAAAATAGGGAAAAGAGCGTTTTTTAAAATTTATTGATAGCTACAATTCACTTATTTTACTAAATATGAAATTTGTAAATAAGCTACCTAAAATAGAGATACACTTATTAAGTTGGTTATGGCCTATGAAACATTATTATTCTTCCACTATCCTAAAATGTTGTTATGGATGTAATTGATTAGTTTATGTGTTTCGTTTTAAGATAATGTATCTTGAGAATTGATGTAGACTGAAGAATAGCCAAAGTATTTTTGAAACATATAATGTATAGATTTATGACATAGTCGGTCATGGCTTCTTACTATAACTCCGGAAATTCCCTATAAGCTAGTAACCAATGAGCACATGATAATTATCGGTACGGGGTTATAGGGAATTTTGAATCTGATCGAGATCATGAACCAATCTAAACTATTGATTATTTGTACTCACTTTTATAAATGATTGTAGGCCTCTTACCTGCGTACACATATGCGCTTAGGGATATCTGACGACTTTGGCGAACTAAATCTAGATACTACATTACTCGTTCAGGACATTATTTATATACATAGATGATAACTCATATATATATATATATATATATATATATATATATATATATATATCTTTGACTTTCATATACCTAATACATAACTTCATACATTTATTCATCTGTTTTGTTTGCCTAATCATTTGACTGAAGGACAAGCTTGTTTGAAATAAACCTTATGTAGTAATACTACGTGTCGTGACTTAATTATTATTAAATCGGAGGTGAGAACAAACCATTGGTTGGTTAAGTCAATTACCAGTACGAAATTAACTTAGATAAGTTAGTAATGGGAAAACCACATAAAAATATTAAAGAAATGAAATATTTAGATCTATATAAGAACAAAACGCACAAATATTTTATTGAACACGATTGAATGGGGATAATGTACAAAAGTACGTGTGTGTATGTGTCTGTAAACCAATGGGAAATATTACACAGAGATTTCACAAATGTAATCGTTTAGCACATGTAGGTGGTAATGACGGTGATACTGAATCATCCGGTTCCATTGATTTTTTCAAAGAACGAGTTATTTTACGATTGGTTGCAGTTGGTGTTGGTGTACTTATATTAGTTGATTCTAATTTTAAACTAGGAACTATTACATCTGATCGTGACGGTTTGGCTAGACCAGGATCAAGAGGGTTATGCAAACCACGTTGGTGTTCGTGTTGGTGCAGTAAACTAGCGACAGTCCGATTAACTTTAGGCTGTGGTAATTCATTTTCCGGTGTAGGATATGGTTTTGATGTAAAATAAGATGATTGTAACGCGCTGGCAGCAGTTCCACGTGTATCGGGATTTAAACTTAACAAAGTCTCTAGTAAATTTATAAGGTCCGTACTAGCTGCGGTAAATATCTGTGAGAACGGTATGCCTGGTCGATGTTCAAATTTTACATAATTAGGCAAACGATAAACATCAGGCCATGTATCATCCTCTGGTGTCCCTGTGATCTATAGTGATAATGAAAAAAGGTCGAAAACATGAAATAGTAAGTAATTTTATAAATGAGATAACATCATTGTGTTTTTTTTAAAAGATAATATCATGATTACATGGTTCAATCAATGGTGACAACAACTCCTTTACCAAGTAATACTAACTATGAATGAAGACACATTACTACAGAACCAACTCATTAACAATTTATCATTTAATAGAAACACGTTAACGCAAATTACGCAAGAAGTCATAGTTACAATTACACCACTTTAGTTGATGAGTAAGAACTAATAATAAATCTAAAAAAAACTAGAATACAGTTTGTGTTGGTTAGCATCAGTAAAAAGGACAATGTAGCAATTCTACATGTCCGTTACTTTTCTTGAATGATATAATGGCCCTAGTACACTGATTTTGTTGACCAGCACATTGTACTATGGTTTAAGCAGGTTTGTGTGAATGTCTGGTATGAACTAAAATCAAGAGAAATTTCAAGAGGCAAATCCATTTTCTAGGAGATAAGATTAACAACTTTTATTAATTGTAAAACAATAATATTGAAAGACACAATGAATGATACTGTACCTCTCTCCATACCTCATATATTTTGGCCAACTGAGTTAAATCACAGTCACCGGGAAATAAAGGAGTTCGCAAAAGAAATTCCGCTATAATACATCCAACAGCCCATATATCGATACCGACACCATACAAAGTGCAACCATAAAATAATTCAGGAGCACGATACCAACGAGTAGCCACTTGATGTGTCATTGGTCGAGTAGGTGAACTGGCAAATTGACGAGCTAGACCAAAATCGCCTATTTTCACTTTACCTTGTTTACTGAGGAATAGATTGTTGGGTTTCAAATCTCGATGTAATATCCAGTTGGCGTGTAAATATTCTACACCTCGAAGCAGCTGGATTAAGACAATACAAATATTTTGTAAAAAGTTGAAGCATCACAACGAGGGATGTATTTTAAAAAAATTTATTATCTTGATATTCACTAAAAGAAGTCGTTATTGATCCTTAATAAATGTCCAATCATAAAATACAGCGGAAATGCAAATAACTTACGATTATCAACAGAAGTCAATCCTATTAATGAAGTGATTATTATATTAAAATACACAGCACAAATGTACATTGAACTGAAAACTACTCTGAATCTAATGTAGAATAATTCAATTATGAAGGTTTATAGATGATAACATTGAGTAGTAAACTACATGAAAACTAAACATATATACAACTTTAGAGGATTCCTTCAATTGAGAACTGCTTCTAATAGTTCCTTTCTAAAGTAAAGATAACCTATGAAAATGGAATGATCATTCAATTATGTCATTATACCCGTAAAACTTTGAAAACAGATAACTGAATGAGTCAAGAGTAAACTAAAAAAATCATAAATCACACAAATAGCAGAATGAGTGCAAAAATGATACAGTGAAATCTTAGTAGAGTCAAGTAGATAAGATTACAAACAAATATCAGGTTGAACGGCAGCGGATTTATAGATCAAGTCTGTTAGTCAGTCAAAATCAACACAGAGCCTGGCTTAAGTTGCCGTACTACAATAACACGACGAGATGAAGATAAAGGGATGAATCATTGATCATGGCTATCATGACAATTCTAATCAAGTAGTCTGCAGCCACCAACATGGATAAGACGAATAGTTAATAAATTGGTGGGTTGATCACACCCCTAGCATTTGTCTAACTGAAACGAGATTTCAGAAACATGTCAAACAATATAAATAAAATCTGAAAAATACCTGAATGATACATTTTCATCAATATCTTACTATCTCAATACAATTTAGATAGAAAATAATTAGATCACCTGCAAGCTTAAAGCTTTAACATGTGCTGGTATCAACACAACTGTTGGATCATGTACTAAAGCTTCCAAGTCAGATGACATAAAATCGAATACTAAACAAATACACCTATCCTGACTGAATACATCAAGCAGAGTCAAAACATTGGGATGATCAATTTCTTTAAGAATTTTAATTTCTCGAATAGCAGATAAATTCATACCATCAGCTAATACCCAACGTGGACCTGCTTTAACCTAGAAAAAAAACAAATAAAATGGATGATATAAATAAGTGTTTAATGAATATAGAATCATGAGACCACAATAAATGTACATTCGCCAAATTTCCCCGAGACATAATATTAGCACAGATGGTAAAAAAATATTTTAAAATAATAATGATAATGAAACACGGACACATAGAGTTAAATTTAAAATGAACGACTAAAATTTTGGAATGAAATACCATAAAAACACAAAATTTGGAAAAAGAGGAACATAGACACACATTACTGCCAATCAAATCGATCCGTATGAACTACTACCACGGTGGTGTATGCTACTTATGTCTGTCAACGTAAGTAGTAAACAGCAGCAATCAGAAGTGGAATATATGGCAACAGGAGAAATTGTAATATCAACAGGAGTGAAGGAACGATAAAGTTTGTAAGTGACGATTGATGGAAGATGTACAGATAAAGTATTGAATGTAAGGTTTTCATATTTTACGAAGACACTGTAATTTTGCATTTAGCAGCAAAGTGGTTATCCTCATCAAGTCTTCGTTCACTACATTGATACTAAAACTATTACACAAAATTACTAAATCATCAATTTGAAGAAATTTTGCATCATTAAGAAACTCATATTAATGCAACTCGTTACTTAAATGCAGACATTCTGTACTGAGCTTCAAGTTACACTACTTATGTATAACAGTTACCGAAGCTAACTATTTGTTCAAACCATACTGCACCGGGATTTGAAACGGTAAGTTATGCTATAACGTATTGAACGAATAGTAGAATAAAACTTTGTATGTTTCCATTTTCAGTGACTAACAGTAATTTAAGAATGAAATTAAATGGGATATGATAAAGCGGAATATACAATATATGAAAATGAATTGTGTTCTCTATTTTCTCATGGTAATGCGTGAAGTAGAACTTAGGACATGTGTATATTGGTTCAAGTTTCCACAACAAGACAAAGTTGCCTAAACAAATTTTAGAGTAGTACAAATAATAACACTATTCGTGATGGTAGAAAAGATTAAGAATCAGAAATACGATTCGAAAATAATATATGGACTGGTGGAAAACAAAGAATGAAGACACTTGCACTATTGTAGCAATGCGGTGGAATTAAATGTATAAGATTTTCAGGATAGATAAAATATATGTGTCAACTATGGGGATTAAGGTAGTAATTTTAATATCAGTATTGTAGTGGCTTCTTTTCTATTACAAAACTAGAAAATTTGTTTCAACTTTTAAATAGATGAATTATTCTGATGTTTTCATTTATTTTGTCATTTATAAATGTGACTTTGAGCATGTGTGTATTACAGTATGTGTCGAAATATTTGCTTGTTTCCTTCATGCCTAGAAATATTTAGTCATGTTTTCGTTAAATTGATTGAGGATATCTGACGTTGTTTATTATTACTTAATTTGTCTAGCGAAACGAATGTATGAAATATAAATATCCAAAACATTCACATTCAACTTTTAAATCTTCATTATTATTAAAGTGATTTACCAACAGAACATATATGATGTAGGTAGGATCTCTATTTCGTCAAATGAATGGTGCTATGTTGCGAAAAGAAAAGAAATTTGTTTGATCGGATTGTGTATGGTCGGGACTTAATGACAAGCATGAAGTTGTATGATCGCTCTTTCTCTCCCTTTTTTCCTCAGTTAGTTTACTAATATTGCCAGTAGGATCAGTCACCTTCTAGTTACCGATCGATGTACATCGATCAATGAACAAAATCCAAAATCTTAATGCTTATTTCTCCTGAAGCTACTTCTAACCCAGTGGTCAATCAGAAGACGAAGAGTCAAGCACAACTCGAAACTCAAACAATAGTATGTTTGAAATCTCTGATCACGTGTATATAACTTAATAATAAATCTGGAATGATAAGAAGCATGAGAACGATTCATGAATTAAACGAAAGCTTAGGAAGAGAATATAAAAACACAATAGTTTGAATGTTGGTTAACTATACAATAAAAATATAAATGATAATCTTACGTACGATAGTCCAACAAGTTCTACTCTCCTACTACTAGTCTAAATAGAGTGCCGATTAACAAAGGAAATGTAATAATACAATGTGGCCGTGAAGTGATGGTTGTTTATGAGGCTGAATGATTGAAACAAGCCCTTAACTGAATTGATATCAGAAGATAAGGCAAATTTTCAGTTGAATAGCTTTTTCTTCTAATAAAACTACACGCTCACATACAGACTACTGAATACAAGGATAAATACGACTTAAGGTTATTTAACAAGTAGACGATTAAGGGAAAATGGCAATTATAAGTTATGCATTATCTAATAGAATTAATACTCATATATTGGGCTTAATTCTTACTCTTATCGTATCATATATCTTCAATACAAAATAGCTGAATATTTTATTTTGTTGACTGAATGATACATTTTAGCTTAAAACACTGAATGGTAAGATATAAAATCAAGATATCATTTTATTATTTTTTATTACTAAAATAAGTAATGAGAAATGCATTTACCTTTTTAATAGCTACTAATTGTCCATTTCTATTATTATCTTGAGCTAAGAATACATTAGCGAATTGACCTTCACCAAGATAACATACTTTTTCATAACGAGAATTTTTACTAGTTTCATCTACAAATATATCCATGCTAAAGTTGAATTACAAGAAGAAGAAAAAATAACTAACATTATGTAGTCAATTTATGTGAATCATGAAACAAGTGGTAACATTTTGTTATCCAACAGGTATATTTGTGTCACTTATATTGGTGCATGGACATCAGTGTTGATGAAGTATCGTTTGATATAATCAAATCTAGTGGAGTGAATCAATTCGAATGACCCTATAAAATATGTAATTCGACATATCAGCCAGTAATTATTTTCTAATTTATATTATATGTTATCACTGCTCATACTCTACACTAAAATATTTTATTATAAAAGTCAATAAATACACTTTAGTATAAACATTGAAGTTTATGATCTGGTTGTTTACAACAACAGAAAATCTGATTTCACAGATATGATGATGAACTGTTTTATTTTATCATCAATTCATTACTCCCAAGGTTACTAAACCGTCCATCTACTGACAATGATATTGAATGACAATGAATTATTAATATACTAAATAGCATGAAAAAGATCACATCTGAATAGTTGAACTGTTATTGTGAGAAAAAACTCGGAAACAAAAACACTACAAACTGACGTGCAACTCCATTCAAAAGTCGTCCAGCTGAATCCGAAAAACGGATCTATATTTCAGGAGGGAAAGGTGATACACTAGGCTAATCAGATATAACCAAATGATTAGTAAAAGTGTTCGGGCCAAGATATAGTTTTCATGTTCAAGGGATAAAAATTAAACTATTCGTAGACTTAAATTCTTAAGGGATATAGACATATATATCATTCAGTTTGGGCAAAAGAATATCCTTTATAGAGCTTTTATACTTGGCAGATAGGCACATGCAGACCATTATCAACTCTGGGACATTGCACGTCATAATAACAGTCGATCGGTGTATTGGTGTGCCATGTAAATTATCTTCAAACTAAGGAAATCTTCCGTACATTATCAAATCAAAGAGTAAACATATATGCTAATTACACACACATACACCAAACATACATACACAGACAACAAACTGAGAACTCTATATTAGAAAAGAATAGTTAAGTACTAACATCATTATTACAATTTACATTAGATAATACAGAATAAAAATCGAATTTGAAATGGACATTTATATATAGATGAAATAAAACATAAGGATCTTGTCGGTATATGCAAGGAATAAAAATCATGATAAAATAAGCATTAAAATTCTTTCCATGTCAATGGTAAATCACAATATATACACATTGGATGAAGTATCATTGAACGCCAAGCGGATAAACGATCTAATGACAAATGGTTTGAAGAATAAAAATAACAATAGCTAAACCGATGATTCAACGGTAAAATAGAAACAATGCGATCTATAGATAATTATATTTGGATTACAGACCAGCAGTGGGATCAGTAACGCGCGTTTCGTCCATTTCGAAGATCATCAACTGGATGTACCACCATCCTTGTATTAATATCCACACTATGACCGAAAAACAAAATCTAACACTACAAATGCAAACGCATTCTCCATTATGCTAATTAGTCCAGATAACTAATCGCTTTATCAACACGTGCAACGTTTACTCATATTAGTGCTAGCCACTTCTAGCCAAAATTCAAATATACTAAAACTTATGGCGAATTGTCATATAGAGGAAATCCCCTCATGATGTACATATGCCAAGAAAGACGGATGAAAATTCAGTATTGAATACCAAAGAAAGAATTAACAATGGATTATGATTATTACGTGGGAAATAATCCCATTGTCTACAATTCCTGAAACACTTGTGTTGAATATTTAAATAATTCACAGATTGATAATATGTTTTGATTCGGTTGCATATAGCCTTCTCCCGATCTATTGGAACCACAGCTACAACTGTACATCAAAGTAGGTGGTGGCTGAGCATCAGTAACACTGTCTAAACGATATTAGAAGATGGACGTTGAAGGATTGATTAAATAATTTACGATTATCATATTATTCGACGTCTATTTTCAGTGTTATTCACATAACGGTCCCAGCATATACGAGAAAAAATATCAAAGAAATTTATAAACAAACACTAGCAAACTACACATGTCCGTGAAACTCAATATCAGTTTAGTATTACAGATGGAAGGGATGTGTACAGTACTAGTCGTTCTATAAGACGGAGACTTTGTATTTATTTTCTTCATACCGATTTATTTCGAGATATGTTCCAGAGAACCAAGTGTTTATGAGTGTATTTTCCATTTTTATGCAAGTACACAAAATAATACTGAGTCAGTTTAATTAAACACTTTGATTATTATAGGCAAAAAGAACTCCATGTCTGCTAAATTATGAACATTTGTCAAATACAAATCTGATAAATTTGAATCAAAACCTTCCATCAGTATACGGCAGGATGTCAATAAACGGCTTTACTCGAAATGTATTGATCGGAAAGGGAACTATAGTATGTGAATTGGTAGTCTACTTGGAATTTCCGATCAGAATCAAAGTTTTTATATTTTACCAGAAGTTCACATTGAGTACGAAAGTGTACGTTCTGTTATTGAGACCTATGAGGTAGTTAGAATCAATGGTCAGATGAAAACAATGAGATGGCTCAAAGTTTATTATGATAATCCAGATATATTCGTTCTATGAGGTGTTTTAGAATGCAGCAATTGAGTAGTACCCTAAGCCCATCTCATTTCATATATCGCCTGATATTTTAAACCAAAATAATATAATCATTTTACGAGGATACAAACAGTAAGTTAAAGATCATTCACGGTACAACGATTATGAATGCAAATCTACTCAGCATTTGTTAATAACTAACATGAATAATCTTATACTGATATAAAACTAAAAAATGCATAAATGATCGAAGAAAAAGAGATGTCGCTTATGCAGAAATGCAGATGACAAAAACAGGCTTATTACAACTTTCACTGTGAACATCATTGATGTAGCAAAACATCAGTTAGTATTTAAACTAGATTTCATGCCGTAACAGTTTACTATTCACTATGTCAATCAATTATTTAGTGATGTAAAAATTAGGATATGAGTATTTATTCAAATAGATTCTAACTACATTGAAACTTATGAAATAACATGAAGAGTGATGATAATAATCCTCAAAAATCACACAATTCTACATCATACCTTGAGGAGATACGCTAAGAGCTACACGATTACACTGACTGCAATGACGAAACATAGGATCAATGCAAGGTTCCAGAGATTGCATGCAACGCTCTGAAGAAAAAAGGGATGTACGAAAAAAGACTATTAAAACAAAAAAGTTCAGGTATTTTTTGTATTATACTATTATCCAATTCAGCTACTGATATATACGCTCTCTGTATGCGTGAGAAAACCAGGAGTAGGAAGATTTTATTAGCCAATTGAATCAGGAAAAAAATGTACAACTCATTCATAAATACGTATATTTATCCCACAGAAAATAAATTTACACTTTCAATTGCATAAACTGAGATGGTGGGGTACATTAATATAATACTTGTCACGTCTTAACACTCATCTGATGAATGTAATGAGTAGTGATTATAATTAGTATGATATTGTTATCTTTTATTTACCCTCTAATTAATGATATAAGAACTGTACATTAAGAATAGAGATTTAGATTATTTTTTATTTTGTGAGATCAAATATTTTGGTTATTACAATCTTTTTTGCTTAGTTCAATGAGAAAAATGTGAAGTTGGGGAATTTCATCAATTTAAATGCTTTCTACAAGGTACAGAAAAAAGTGAACAGGTACGAATTTGGATAATGTTACAGAACAGACACGAATTGCCTTAAATTGTTAGTAATTTCTGTCAAGATTATAAGATGAATACTGGGAATTCGCTTTTAACCTATAAATGAAATAATCCCACCACAATAGACCATGACAAATAGAAAATTGACTGTTATCTGGGATGCGAAATTCAATGACTGTTTAATAACCTTTAGATATTATTCAGTGCTGACAAAATAAACTCTTCATAGTATTAAAAGCATCTTCATTCAATCCTATATTTTATTGTTATTAATGCTAGTTCACATAGTATGTCTAAACTGAATTTGTATTATCGTTTAATATAAAAAAAATTCGTTAGTGATTGAAAATCCGTGAATATTTGTCATTTAATAAAATAGACAATATTTTTTTAGACATAACATAATAGACTGACAAATAAATTCATTCATTATGTACCTCGACTAATACATGAAACTGTAACGAATTGTTATTTGAAAAATAAACTAAGCAGATTTCTTTATTACCATGTGCTTAGCTTATCAACAATAAATGGAATATATATATATGTTGTGTTTAAGACAGATTTATTTTAGTTAGGATACCACCCAAAACAAGAGAGTATTAAATAGTTGTTTCGTTGTAATGTGGGAATCTTCAATGCTAAGCAACCACAACCCCTAAAGAAAAGGTGCAATATATGAATAACTCACCAAATGGATGATTTTGAGAGCAATTCAAATAAGTTAGGTCCGGAATGACATGTAATAAACAGAAAAAAATATATCCATCATACAAATTAAGGAAATAGATTATACACTGTAAGCACGATTATATTCATCGTATCTAGATCAAAATATAGAAGAATAAAGTAACCGATAGTTCATATATGCCATTTTTCAACTGTCAGTATCCAACGTATATATATAAGTTCAAATAGCCTGGGCTTCAAAAGAAAATACTTGACTAGCAAATAGTTGTAGTATACAGTTATAAATAAAATAGTTATACAAAATAGATTGTAGCATTGAAACTGATTCATAAATACAAAAAAACATTTAACAACTTGCAGTATATTTTTTTACAATCATGAAACTCTACTCACACGAATGAATAATCCAAATCATGTGTCAAATAAATATTTATTTACTGAGCATTGAGGTAGACGTATTATGTAAGCGTCTTTGATATTATCCAGGTTTACGCTTTCACCTTGGTTTAGAGGCAACCATACACACATTCATACACTTGAACAACATCAACAGTATAAAGAAACGACAGAGTATTTTTTTAAGCAGAGATGGATGGAGACTAGTAGTGAAACCCAGAACGCCCGATTCGTCTTATTCAGGGCTTGTCAACTCTATCAGTCTGCATCCCAGAGTTGATGTACACTCTGGGACTTAAGCTCGGTACCGTTCACGCGAAACACCATGGCGTCGACATTTTGACTGTCGACTGTATAATGGTTAGTTTTAGTGAGTAAAACATCAAGTTCTTATTCTCAAGGAATGTGAATGTAGAAATCAGTTTAAGGAAATAATGTACTTGATCAGTTCAATATTTTTATATAGATGCATATAAAATTCTTACTATGCATTAGAGAGTAGTGTAAATGATGAAAATCAAATGGAAAAACCTATTATGTTCGATTATATTTATTATTCTAGGAAATTATTGGAAGAAATTAAATTAACAAATACATAGAAATTATAATATATTCAGTATAATGAAGTACAAACACACAAAAGGATATTTTCTGAGCATATTGGACATTTCTGTAATTGATTGATGATATTTTCATATGGAAATTTAAAACGATGCACATAGAGTTGTACAGCTAATCGGTGAACATTTTTAGCTAATTGAGGTAAATCTTTGACAAAACATATATATTTATTTGAAGTTCCATTGATAATCATTGTATCATCTTCATTTTTATTAGATATACAACTAGATACAGCATCAATGGTGGTAGAGGTGGTGGCGGCGGTGGTGGTCGTTGTCGTAGTGCTAGGTGTATTAGTTAATGTTTGTGACATTGATCGGAAAATATTTAAAGTTAATGTGGCCATTTGTGAAACTAATAAACAATCTGTCATAATTAAAAACAAATTAAAACAAGATTGAAAGATAAAATCATTTAATAATCAAATAATAATAAACATGAATAACATTGATACAAGAAAGTGACATTGTTTGTTAGAGACTTAATTCATCTATCTTAAGGTTATATCAATCGAATATAATTAAATAAAGTATGGATTTGAAAGTAAATCCATGAACATTTGTCTACTATTAGTAATTCGTGTTGGAAACACGAAGTAATAAATTCACCGATGGTATGAATTTCGCGGAAACTTAAAGAATCAACAGGAATAAAGATAGTTTAATATACAAGAAACTAGTACTAATCACACTTTTAAACCTTAAACATTCACTTCGGGACCCGAACCCAGTAACGTTCGTATGAATCTAAGTATATCTAGCTGACGAATCCCAAATAAGACGAAGCGCGCGACCTGAATTCCACTGCTAGCCGCCATCCATCTATGTTTATAATGCTTGTGACTTTAGGTAATATTGAGGCAACCCGAACACGATGGATGTATGCTAAGAGACTGATCGATTGCGGTCCTAAACATCAATGGGAAGACTTAAACATACAATACTAAATGAATTTATAATTTACAGTGTCCAAAAAAAATAATTCGAACATATATTTTATCAAACATGAGCAGATATGAAATAATAAATTGTAACTGTATTTGAAAACAAACAATGTTACTGTTTGACTTTGTACGTTGAAAATTAACAAAACAACCAACGTCACAGATTCGTAGTAGGCTGTAGTTGTACAGTGTAAAAATCCGCTTTATTGGTTAAAAGTACAATATGGGACTAAAATATCGGTTTATATAAAGGCTGAGTAAAAATATACAAGATAGATAACCCAATTGAATGATTACTACAACCCATTAGTATGATAATCACAGTATTATACATGAAAACAAAAACTATCGAAAACATAAAAACAGACTGGTCACTGAATAATGACCGATTTCGTGTACGTAGTTCTTTAGTACTGATCATATCCTGTGGATAGAATCGTCATGTGTCTCGACATCTTCAGCACTATGTTGAGATATAAGTTGGTGGATGGAGGTAGTTGACAGGAAAACTCTAATTGGTCTAGGCTTCGTGTCATTTAGCACTTATCAGTAAAGTGTACTGGTAAACTTGAGTGAACTGATACTACCTGGAACAGAAGTTCATGCGAACAACATCAAATATAAACAGTTCAAAAAATTCACTCGAACAAGGTAAAATGAAAAACGATACATACCACGTGCTTGTCTTTGTACAGAACATTTAAGAAATAAACGAAAACATCGTTCCAAATGACGTTGTTGGATAAAATTATCTAAATTAGTCAGCCAAAGTTGTGCACGAGACTAAGGAAAAAAAGCACAATAAAGAGCCTTTGTCAGACACAATCGACACTGTCATTCATAAAATTTGAGAACAGGACAGTATGTCAAAATAACGACTATTCTTCTAGAAAAGAAACGAAATAAATTTCTCACTTTGATGGATTCATCAGTGTCTTTGTTGAGCATACACAGAATAAACCTGAAAACAATATTAAATATTATGATGTTAGTCAATACTGATAATTATTATTATTTACATTAATAAGTATATGTAAGTCCCATGTTTAATTCCTGGTCACGAATAGGTAGTGATGAAAAATTACATATTAAGATGAAAAATCTATCCACTGATTCCTGGTTTTCAATGGTTATCTAACTAAGCTCAGTTCATGACGTAACTCATAAATTGCTGAATAGTAAAACTTAAACTTTAATCCCAAATTTCAAGGAAATTATTATCGATCAGTCAATCACTCATGAAGGCTAGAGGATTAGGCATAAAAAGATTGGAAAATTAATTTTTTACTCATGACGTAATCAGAAGAGGATATTCACACAAAACAATATAGGGATTCGAAAGGTATGAAATATTGATAAGACAGTATGTATTATTACAATGCTTTCAAAGATAACATTTGAATGGTCAAAATTCACATGCTACAATTACTTCTGATAATGCAACAGAGAACATTTCTGAAATATCGAGTATTCTCTCTGTGATGAACGAACTCCTTTTATAACTAGACTCAGATAACTATAGACAGATTGAAAAATATATTCAATTCACAATATATGACAGAAAGATTGCAACCGTGTGTGAAACTTTTCACAAAATCCTTGGAAATACCATAGCTAATTGGAATATAAGAACACAATTTAGCGAACAGAAACTAAAGATGAAGCGAACTCTTGGAATAACTGATGGAAAAAAGTGTTGAATTCTTTTTTTAAAAGCTTCCTATGAGAAGTAATAAATTTTCAGAGTACTCAAATGTGCCAAAAGTAATGTATATAGTTAACAAAACCATCCGCCAATTCCCCTACTTTCAATTATGAGTATTGCAAGTCCACATTTTAGTTATAAGAGAAGCACTTAGTTTAGTTAAGTACATTGTAGAGACTAACTTAATATGAAGAGGATTTTCATCAAAGACTGATATTAACCACAAAATCATTTAAATCCATCGAGTAATAGTCAGCTACTAGTGACATGTACTAGATTGAACTTCTTTAATAATTAGCATCCAAAGACCTCACTAGTGACCAAGCCCAGAACCGATAAGTTCTTCTAGTAAACCTTATTAGTTATGCAAGCAGTTAGAGAGAGCCATTAACATTGATAAATATATATTATGCTACTTAATCTGTTTTTTTTCTTCAACTACTGTTTTTCAGTAAGATATGAAAATTTTCACAACACTGTAGCTACCTTTTAAGTTCACTATCAGCTAACCAACTGACTTCGTCAATCTAACCAACAACCAACAGATCTTATTGTAAACACTAGATCAATCACTTAAGTCGAATACATTTATGACTAACTACTCTAGGAGACATTTTTCAAAATCAGTTGCAATGATAACGAGGAAGTTCATTAGAACAGTTTTTTGTGTTAAAGGTCACAGTAACAAATAAAACTTCACCTGTAAATTTGAAGCGTTGTAAGTGGTTTATCCAACCAACTATGAGGAAACGAAGAATCACTGAGACAAGCCTGATGAAAATCAATTTTCTCTAAACATATCTGTCGTAAATCTGTTGTATTACTAGATAAATTATCAGTTTTGTCGTTTGGTGAATGCCATCTTTGTAGCAACTCTTGTAAACAATCAACTTTACGATTTAAAGGTAATTCAGGGTTGAATATAATTTCTTGTAAAATATCATTTGACCAAAACGATAAAAAATGGACCTAAAATTGAATGAGAGATAAGTTAAGGTTGATAATTAATAAAAATTATGAAGAAAAATGTAGTTAGTGATAAATTGGATCTAAAAAGTATAATAATTGACTAGTATAATCCAATATGAAAATATTACACTAATATTTACAAACGTTTACTTTCTTACATAACTTTCTTAATAGAAAGAAAAGCAAATGTAATTAGATGAAAAGAAGTCACAATAGTTAATAATCAAGTCTTTATTAACACTACTACTCATCAGTAATAAGAACTATAAATTATTCAAGGTGAAATTCATACAACACATTGAAATCCAATAAAAACAAACATCTGTACACTTTCATAAAGAATTACTAACTCTAGGTGAAAGTAGAGCACTGCGTCGTGCACGATTATTATCCAAATAATTGCATGGTCTGTAAAGAAAAAGAAAAATAAGATGAAGTGTCAGGAATATAAATAATTTAAATTCATTAAATTACACTGCCCACAGATTTAAGTGGTTTGAATAGCTTATATTTCAATATGTGAGTGCGTATACAACATTGTCAGTAAAATCAATCACCATGTCATCTCCGACATTCAATTATCCAACTTCATCATACAGAAATAATTCATAAGGTTTACAAGTATCAGAGTGATAATTGTTTTACTCGCCTTTCGTGATAATGAGTATCAATATAATGTACGCTTAGTTGGTAACCTATAACAGAAAATTTATTTGGTTACTACTGAGTTATAAACACTAGAAATGACTAAATAAGAAAAGAATACTATCGAATATCAAATAACAAAAAATGGTGAAATGATTTAATACAACATACTTTTCAAGAAAACATATATAAACTCCATTCGTTGAAACTGATAATCCATGAAATTCCCAATGGATTACATCAGATTTATCGTAATTAGAACTACACCAAATAACTTGCCAATTCAACTTACCTACAATAATAATAATGAGACAAGAAAATTATTATATACATGAAAGCTACAAGAATAAGATATACAGTATAAGCCAAAAGTTTGTCGAACGGAGACTCAATGGTTAAGGAGCTCGGCACAGAGACACTACAAAGGCTGTATGACCCCCCACCTCATCTAATTCAGTTTGGGTGACTGAATAGCATCACTACTCCTCACAATTAGAATATGAAACAAAACAAAGTACACAAATCTGTAGCTAATATATGGGTTTGAAAATCGCCTCATTGTTATAAACCATATGATGATATTTGTGTAAATAATAAATAATATTAGTTGATGTTTTTAAAAATCTGTCAGATATTTGTTGATTGTCCGGATCAATTACCTGAATCGGTGATGTTAGTTAATTCAGTGGAATATGAATGACCAGCAAAGATATTGAGACTGATAATCAACGACTTTTTTGCAACGATTCTAGATGTACAACTTACAAAGAAACAAAACTTATAAAGAATTATAAAGTAGTGAGTATTAAATCCAGAATGGTTATTTTTTATTTGAACATACAAACGAAATATTTCGGAGGGAGAAATTGGTTTTTATAGTTTGTTCATTCAGAAAATAATCAATAAAATTAAACACATACAATTCATTCATAAATGAACTTTGGTTTAAAATGAAGTTATGAATTCTAATTATTTATTTCTTATTCTTATGTTTTCATATCAGCCGTCATTTTCTGAGGGGTCACCACTCGGTTCACTTCTAGTTCATTGTTCCATTGTCAATCTCGAAAACATAATACTTAGACTAAAGTTGTATGATTTTAGATGCTTACAAACATCAATAAAATTTAGATAGTAAAATGTATCAGATAAATTATTTAATCTTGAACCGTGTACGTCCATTTTTGGTTATGTGAGAGCTGTCTATGTATGATATTACCTGACTATCTAAACCGAAAGAGGTAGAGATGGATACAAAAATGTGAATTTTGTGGTTGAAAGCTAAATGCTTCAAATATCACACCACTTGCACTACTGAGTCTGAATATTGTATTGTGTATTGTGAGGAGAAATAAATTTTTTGTGTTAATCAGAATAGTCAACACGTTGAAAACAATATTCATTGTATTCATTGAGGGATTATTAGTGAAGAAGTCATTTAGTTCAAAAAAAAAAAAAACAGGAAAATTGATAAACAATACGAAGGCGTTATCTTTGACTCATTTATAAATTAACTTAAAGTTCTATTAAAGTGACTTTTGAATAGTAATTAAAACGATTTCAGATATTTACATTTTATAATAACACTAGTGAAAATGGACAAGTGACAAATACTTGGGATCATTGAAAAAGGATATACAAGTGAAGGTCTACCATCAAATAAAAAAAGAATCAAGGGAAATCTCAACATATAATAAATAGGTCAATTTATTCACGGGGTGCATGGGGTATAAGCCACACTAAGAGAAAGTGAAAGTTAATGAAATTAAGAACTTTCACAAACTGAATTAGGTGGAGCGAGGTTTAAACCTGGAATTTAGTGGCTGAAAGTTATCAAGCTATCGCTCCATGTTATTTACAGTACAATAAATTTACCATGACAATTTATAAGTTTAAAATTTTTGACAAAAAAAAAACAAAAATAAGGAGAATCGAAACCTTTTAATAATATGTAGGATTCTGTAAATGAATCACTTGCCTCCTATCCAATACAGTAAATGTCATAAATCAAAGAACGCCCTTTATTGTTAGAAAACAAAAAAGTCAAACAACATGAATTGACGATACAATACTATTTTTCACTAAAATAGAAAAAAAGGAAGTGGAAAAGAAATAGGACTTAAGAAAATGAGAGTTGGAGTCTATCCTATTTTCAGTTTAAACTGGATAGATCTATAGATTCTGCAGGTAATTTCATTGTGAGAACATGTTGTTGTTATGTATCACTTTATTCTGAGATTTTTAAAAATACATCATTTCCAGAAACAAGGGAGTGTATGATAGTTTCTTTTACGAAGAATCGATATAAAGGACAAAGTTTTTATTTATTGCAGAGTGAGTGACCTATAAAATTAATTTTCTTCAATCATACATAAGATTTTATTCTGCTTATTTTCCTGTTAATATTTTGAGTACAATCATGTTATTTCAGAGAATAAAATAGCCAATTCACGTGTGCAGTTTTTTTTAATATTCTCATATCAGTTTAGTTGGACGCTTATAACAATAATTCGATTTCGTGACCAGGCATTACTTGGCCGTATATCATCTATTGAACAAAATTCTATTTATTCAGTTTAACAATTACAACCCTAATTCATATAACAGATCCTGAATCAGAACATGCATGTTTGTTAGATAGAAAAATTTCGAGTTTTTTAAGAAACTGTTTTAAAATCTTGTCTATTTACTTAAGCACATAAACATTGGTACAAGGAGGCAACAAATAGATTCGCGTCATAATTCGTCATTCGATTTATGTGAAGTCTAGAATACTACTCGAAGCAGGTGGTTTCCTTAGGGAGTCAATCCCTGTGCCTTTGACCTAGACGTCTAATCCATAAGACAGTAAGGCAACGTTAGACGATCCGGTCCCATGGTAGCCGGTCACCAACAATAGGTTCATGCGCTATTTGTTCCCTTAGGGTAATGGAGCCTATGTGCACCATTGATTTAGAATCAGGGTTTTTCAACTCCATCGAGTGGATGTTCCGTACATACAAACCCGGTTAAAGCACCGGACAACCTCTTTCCACCCTCTCACCTTTGTAAATAATACTTGCTGAGAGAAGGCAGGGAATAGAACTACCCTAGGTATATACACGTGGCCATATGAGAGCATTTCCAAAGGGAGAGACGACTCTCCCCACTATCATCTGTAACAGAGGATTTGGAGGTTGTGAAGATTGGTTCAACTAGTCAAACGAACAATAAACATGTGATTAACAGCCGAATAACGTCAAAATAAATTCTGGACGTTCTAGAACAATTTTATAACTGGTGGAAATGCGGTAGGTAACATCGATGTCAAGACGATGGCTATACTATGTTGCAAAATTAATTGAGGCCGGACATATGAACCAACAGTATTTTTTAAAAGCAACATGCTAGCCATGAGACATAAGCGGTTTAGATTCGTCCCTTGTTAAATTAGTGGGTCTACACAGTTGACGAGCTTCAAACTACAACAAATGATGTGTCTAGTGTAACCTGGTTTTCAAAAGCTTCCAGACGAAAAGTGACTCAAAATTTATCACCAGAAAGGAGGAAAAATGTTGAAATATTTTGGAATTTTTTGTAGTTTTTTAATACAAAATGGTGCGGCAGAATAGATCAATCTCAGAGATCAGTTTAAGAGGGAAACACGAAGAAATTCAAACGTATATTGATCAACTTATTTATTTGACAAACTGGTTAACACCTAAAACGTAGATGACCTAACAAATCTCAACATTATTCTCTCTTCAAACATCACTTGTTATGCAACTGGCGAGATAAATTAACTGAATGTCAAAAAATATGTGCACTACCCAGTATAGTAAATATTAATAAAGATAATTATTGAAATTAGTGAGTACAAAATTAATGGCATAAAATCACATGTATCTTAACACTATCAGATAGATAATATTAAGAAAGGGATGGAGGGGGAAATAAGGTAAATCAGTTGAAAATGTGAAACTTTATTGATTAAGCCAAGTGAAAGATATACATGTATAACCATGCCCAGTCTTAATTCGGCATGCTAAATAGAATACAATACAATTGAAAACAAACCCACAAATTAACAACCCAGAGATATGACATCAATCTATGAAGACTACAATTTCCACATTTAAGCTGTGTAGTGTTGATTTAAAGTACATTGAAAAGTTGAATGATGCAAGGATAAATTTATACATCTTATTTCATAAAATGAGTAAAATTACAATACTACCCTACTAATATTCTCATCGTCAATGTTGTCACATTCCTGATCTCGGAGATTAATTTATTCTGTTTTGATTCAGTCAAATCCAATATTTAAAAGACAATAAAACGATTAAAAATGAAACAAAACTTCATTATTTTCTTTCACATAAGATAATGAGAATTTTTATCGTGTATACATCCTTCATATAAATTAAATTCATTAGCTATATTGATCAGGCTAGTAAACACATGTGTATTCATACAACAAAGTAAGATCTATTATCAAAAGTATTCAGCGAAAACTAAGTCTACGATTCTCTATGAGAGAAAGTTCTATACCAATATATATATAATGTGAAATAAAATTTAAACCAAAAAAATACTTACATTCAGACACTTCATCAAGACTGGTGCGCATTAAGTAACCATCCACACTAGTCAGTAATAACTGTTCATTGTCCAAATGTATACCTAATCAGAGACATAATTACACAAACATTTTACAAAAGTTTATGTTGAATATGTAGTGTAAAAAATTGGATTTTTCATTGAAATAAATCGTAAAGTTACTTGTTTGAAAAAGTTCGTGACGGGAATGTATCGAATTTTTAAACTGAGAAATAAAACGGATATTTTTAAAATCTAAACATGGCTGTGAAAAACGATTTAAATGTCCATAACAGTGAATAATGGAGACTATGAGAAACGACTACCTTGAAATTATATCTAACATAGTATATGGGAGGTAGAGTTGCAGTCAAATTGTAAAATCATCAATATAATTCGACCAGTACTTTTGGAAACTCGGCATTGAATAAAATAAAAAACACTTTCTATTATTCGGACAATCTAATAATAATAATAGTAATAATAATAATGACAATAACAATGATAGTAATAATAATAATGATAGTAGTGATAATAATAATAATAACAATAATAGCAATAATAATAGGCCGCATATGATTAGGTGTACTAATTAATGGCGATGTTACGTAAATATTTTGCTGTGAAATATATCACTACTGAAAGAAGCTAAAATGAACATGATTACAGAAAACATACCATTAATGGACAGTGAAAGACTTACTCAATACCGACGGAAAATGAGAACCCAACACTGAAGCATCGAATACTATGATTTATAAATACTCTGAACATCATAAAATCTGTACATCTAAGTTAAATAATAACATGTTTGAGATGCTATGAGTTAGTAATATATAATTTTCGGATTTTATTGATTAATCGGGTCTTTTATAAGAACTATCAACAGAGTTCTTAGCCAGAACCCATTCAAATGGTCGGTATTTGAACATACATGAAATAGCCAACACAATTGATCTACAGTTTGTTTAAGAAATACACACTCAAAATAAACACTCTGATTAACAATACAACTGAGGACATTTTAAAAACTACTGAATTGAAAGAAACTTTTAAAGTTCAGTTTGCTGTTTTTACAAATCTTGACATACCAGTAATATAGCCTAGAATAGGATTTGGTTGACTAACAAATTGACTTTTAACCAAATACAATGGATCTCGTCCACGACATGGTGTTGATAGGCTACTTGGTTGTTCTTGGTGCCGGTTCTGTTGTTCGAAACAAATCTCTAAATCTTCCTTAGCTATATGAAATAATAACAAATGACGACCATAGCCAATACATAATAAACGACGAGACATTAACCAGGCTGATGCTAAAATGGTTACATGATACAATGAAGTTGTCCATAGATTGAATAAATAAGGCTGTGATAATGTTTGAGAAAGGTAAAAAAGAAGCAGAGCTGTTATATAGCACGAAGTCTAAACGAATGATAGCTTCAAGGAGTTATTTGTAAACTATTAATATTTATATTTACATTCCTATTATCATAAGCTTTCGGTTGGCACATTAACTACTATAATAAAATTTAGTAGACTTAATCCATTCCAAACTAATAGTTACATTCTGCCCAAATGCCCTGGTACGGCCGAGAGTGGGGAGAGTCAGCTCTCCCTCTTGAAATGATTTGACATAGCCATGTGCATACAACTACTGCCAGGGAAGTCCTACTCATTGCATTCCCGCGGCATTATTGTTGTTTACGAAGTTGAGAGGATGAAAAGCGAATGTCCGGCGCTTTAACCGGGTTCGTGGAAACGGAAAGTTCACCCAGGAGAGTTGAAAAACCCTGATTCCAAATCAATGGTGTACATGAGCTTCAGTATCCTGAAGCAGCAAATGGATTATGAACCTATTGTTCGTCACAGGCTCCCTTGGGACTGCATCTCCCGACGTTCCTCCACTACCTTGTGGATCAGATATTAGGACGAAGGCTTCGGATGTGACCCCCTAAAAAAACCATATGCTTCGGTTTGGGCACCCGGGAGGTATCCTAGCCATCACACAATTGGAATGATTTATATGGCGCATATCTGTTTGTTGCCTGCTTGTGCCAATGTTTATGTGTTTAAATAAATAAATAACCTCACAGCCCCTTTCGGTGTGATCGCGTGCATTTACTATTTTTTATTTTATGGTGCGATGCGGTCTGAGCTGTTTATGTATCAACCACGCATGTCTGAAAGATAACACTGATATAGTGGGGGCTGGTTATCGTGTTCTGGATTCAACGAACTGGGCAAGAAGAGAAGTAACTGTATCATGAACCGATAAGGATTTGAAATCGACTCAATGCTACTAGTGCTGGTTGGTGTGCTATTTGTTAGCTCAGAGACAAGGTGATAAAAATCGGAATTGTGATTGGTAGTCTTGTCACAAGTGAGTCGTGAGCTTAGCGCGGAATTTTTTCTTCACATTGATAGATAGTATTTCGGCATTATATCTGACGTCAGTTCGTGGTAAGACCATTGCTTTAATTCCTAATTCTACATTGTTGTAAATCCTAATCCTAATTCCTCTTACAGATTTTTAATCCTCTTTTGACACCAGAAGGTAAATGAGTGGTCTCCAGGTCATTTCAGAGTCATTAAAAGTCGTCCATAGCTTATGGTCAGATCACTTTATTTCTTTGATATTCAGATAAGCCACTGAATAATAACAGAGTGTGGAAACTAATAGAAAAAACTGGTTCAAAGCAATTAAAAGCAGTTCCTTTTTGTGAGTCTATAAAAATATCTTAATCATCGAATCGAAATATTTTGGTTAATAAAAACAACCATCCATTTCAATGGATAATTTTGGGCTTAAGGTATCGCAACATCAAATTGATTTAAATGCTAAATAGCCAGGACTCATACCAATTACGATAAGATTCGAAAAGTAAGTCTCGAAATCCAGTACACTCACTTAAAGAGTGAAAAACTTTACTGAACACCAGTTTTCTACAAAATATGAGTCAACTGATATATATCCACGCATTTATAAAATGGAGCAATTATTAGATTGAGATCATTTGGTGAATAACATAAAGTACCTGAGAGATTAGCGTACTGTAATTGTACTACTTATGAGTAACTAGTTTTTAACCGTATAATTTTTTCAGTTGCTAATCGCGGACCCCATAATGATTGATGGATTTTTATCGCATTACGAACTAGCCTCATAATATTTACTAATCTCCACAAACGACGTAATATTGATAGATCTTTAATCTGTTCAGCCATACTGAACTTGGGATATTTTTACTGTTCTGTGCTGAGAATTGATAGTTGTTACTGTTGAGCTTAGCACTCGGAATTTTTATTTACAATAGAATCCGTTTTTATTTATGTATGTTTATATGTAAATACCCCGAAAACCCAAATAGTTTCATGAGTTTAATGGATACCCGGTACATTATTCTGTGAATCTAACAATATCTATATCAAGGATGGGTACGAAGCAAAATTATATGATGGTGATCGTAAACAGTAAATAAATTAACAGAAGTAAAACAACAGGAAAAAGAAGACACAATACCGGGGTTGAAACTAAGCGCTTTAAACTAAAGATTGGTTTTCTTTAGTAAAGTTACAGACTGGCTAAGAATGCGGGTATCGTCCCATTTGGGACTTACGAGTTGGATGTACCTAATAAATAAGGTTAATTTAGCTGGTCAAGTAATAGAATCATAGGAATCAAAGTGACAGAAGAACGGAAATTAACACGAGTATTAAGCAACATAGATTTAAAAATAAGTTTAGTGTCACTTACTACTGTTAATACCAGAATACCAGTTGGAGAATATTCAATAGGAAACACTAAACCTTTCACTGAACCATCAGTAAAACCTAAAACAAGTAAGACTAAAAGAAAGAAAAAAACAAAGGTCATGTGTATAAGAATAGTTTTGATTAAGAGTATAACAATATACACATACTATCACTACTACTACATTCAGTTTACGACTGAAAATTAGTAGCGGTTGTTTCAAGTTAATCATTATACCGTGGTGTGTGCTACTTATATCGCCATAAGTACTATATGACATTAGTCGTGAATAGAATGTCTGGCAGCAGAGAGACAAGAGGAGTGAACACTGAAGAATGGAAACATAATGCAATTTGTATGAAAATGCAAGAACAACGAAGTCTGAGACGATTGATGGACATTTTGCAAATTAAGTATTTACTATATGATTGTTAGATTTTATCAACGAGTCCTGTAATTTTGTGTCAAATACATTCGATTGTCCCCACTGGTGTTCTTGTTCACTACAATACTATACTCTCGTTAACTTTGAAACTCAGAAATATTCAGAACGATAAATGAATGGGATGAAGAGCGTTAGCTGTATACGCTTTGAATTTCGAAAAACAAATAAATTCTTATTATTAAGAGGGGAATTAGTGAAGATTTGATAATTTCGAATAAATTGATCATTGGGTAGATTATTATAAATAAATAAATAATATATTTGTAATTAAATTAAAATTTTAATATGGTTATTTATTCTCTGAAGAAGTGACATACACTAAGTCACGAAACGTCAGAAAATCTAATTTTTCTACTCATTGGGATATTACAAATATATTATTTATTTATTTATTAGTGAAGATTGTTTACTTTAAAGTTAGCATTAATGATGAACTTACTGAATAGCTAGTTTAAAACTTCAGATTTTCCGGCTCATAACTTTACTAGAAATAGAATTTCAAGTCTTCTTAAGGGCATTAAAACTTAGTAGTCTTAAGGTAAGAGATAGAGTTCAGACTTCGAATAAAACCTTAATTTTTTACAGCTTCAATTAAAATTTCGAACGGAATATAGACAGTTCATGAAGGGAATAAAGAAACAGAAACACTCCCGTATAAATTTTAATCAATCAAATTTTCTCCTTGATACGACAAAACTATACATTTATTTACTTCATTTATATAATCCACATGTAATCTGGTACATTCGGGGACAAAAAATAGTATGAGCCATACAAATAATATTTGTATGTGGGTTAGGATACTGAACGAACGCTCGAAATGAAGTAGGTGGTTTTCTTCGGTGACTCACTTTGCAGCTTTTGATGTAAAGGTTTAATCCACAGTGCAGTGGATAACCATCGGGAGATGCCGTCCCATGCTAGTCGGTAACCAAAATAAATTCGTACGCTATTCATCTTTACAAGGTTCTGGAACATATGTACAAGATTGCCTTGGGATGAGGATTTTTCAATATCCCTAAGTAGATCCACTAATCCGGTTTAAGAGCCCGATGTTCGCTCCTTAACTCTGATTTTTATAAACAATACTCTTGCCTTCTGAAGTCAGTCAGTAGGACTTTTCAGTCAGAAACTATAAATGCATGGGGGTATGAGAGGATTTCAAGAGGAAGTGTGAACTCTCTATACGCTCGTAAGTCAATAACTATCGGGAGCTGAAACTATACATAATACAGTGAAATTTTTTTCAAGAAATTCTATTCAGCAAAAACATTGAAGGGAAAGTAATAACTTACGATTGAGACTATCCAAATCATAAAGTTTGATATAGTTTGGGTGTTTATCCATCGAATCGCTGCGCACGACAGTGTATGTATAATCTACCCACAACAATGACATTGATGACCTGAGTCATTTATTATTCCACATTCCAGATTAAAATAAAGCAATCAAATGAATATCAACTATTTATCTTCATGAAAATTAAAATGAGGTTAGAAAGAACAAGATAGGATTCACTTTGGCGACAATCTAGCAATAAATAGTCTAAATGTTTTTTTTGGTTAGTGTATTTTTTAGTAAGGTCCCTTTTGGTGGGAGTTGAGTTGGTAACCCCATGCCCAACTCTTCTTTCTTGCCTGTGCTTGGGATTGAAAGTAACCCTAGAATAGCTTTAAGAGAGTTGGAAAAGAAGAGCCCAGAAAAGAGTATGTTGGAGACCCCTGGTCGATGACCTATGCTTCCACGGGGGATATCAGGTGTAAATAAGTATCTAATAAACAGGAAACTTTACTTCTCCAGAGGTATGTAATATAAAGTTAGGAACATAAACAACAAGTTGAGAATCAAACGAGTTCTTATGTGAGGGATCACAAAACATTGGCTTAACACTATATATGTTCTATAGTAATCAGAATATTAAATCTTTACGAATAAATTTTCGATCATTGGAACAAAAGAAAAGAATTCTTATCGATAGATGATGCACAATGATACGATATGACTAAGTATGGAGAGTGAAGAGGGAAAATTATTGACTTAATCCTTCAAATGATTTGAAATGAAATACAAGAACACTAACCAGAAGAATATGTTTTTATGTAATAAAATGACATGCTTCCATAAAACATATCAATGTGAAACAGGCATGATAAAATGTCATGGAAAATTGAAAGAACTTAGTATCTAGGTCAGTCACTCCCCAATTAATTCAAATATGATAGGTCTAATTCTTGGGAATCGTATCTATAGGATGGGAAATCAATATTGCAGGTCGTTGACCGCTAAGATATAAGTGTGTCTTTAATTCAGATTTGTGAAAGTCAAAAGAATACAATAAATGAACAAAAATAAAGTAACATACACTCCAGAAAATGGTACTGAAACCATCCATATAGAGAATGCACCGGATTTCATTAAGACTGCCAAAAATGTCACTGGGCATAATGAAAATGATTCAGTGACAAGTTGAGTTGGGTCAACTGGTATCACAAAATAGGACCTGTTATTGTTTACGCAAGGTGCAGTTTTCAAATTCATTGAATTAGTGGATTTTATTTGAGGTTGTCGAATTATCTGACACCAACTTGTGTAAACAACTACAACATCTTCTATTGCATCGAAATAATCCACGATATTTTTACATATTAATGATGGAATATTATTACATTCAGTAGGCTATATAATAGACAAGGGAGTTTACTGAGAGATAATTATGCGGATAATGAAGAAAACGAAGAACAATATTGTTAATGATAATAGTAATTAATAATAAACAAAATTGGAAGATGCTTGAGTAATTAGATAAGTAAACGTTTTTATTGTAGGGTGAGGGTTGGAGATAGTCGACAAAAAACCCTGAACCTAGGATTTCATGTAATTTGAAACTCGTCAACATAGAGTAACTGTAATTTCGGGGGAACTGATGCTGTCTGATAGATCTGATCCAAAGTCACTCAGTTTCATAATCAGAGATGCTACCAATGAGCTACTTGGTCCATGGATGACCTCCTGCAGAATCGAGATGTATTAATAATTGATTGAACACTGAGTAGTGACCAGTCAATTTGAAATCCTTTTACTGTTATATCAAAAAACTATTATTTCAATTAATGTCATAATTATATACTTCCTAATGTTAATGATTGGAAGTTGACAGTTGAAAGCTGCTTTAGATGTCCCATTCATTTTATGTAAACTATGTCCGGAGCTTTGTCGATCAAATGATTTATTCGATTAGTTGCTGATGTTACCAGTACTCATACTACTACTAGTGGTTATGCGAAAAGTACTCATTCTATTTATGATTAGGTTGCAAATATTCACCTTATTTGAAATTGTGTTACAAGTAAATTCTGTGCACTAATTCAAAGGTATGTATCGATTTGATAATCACATTATCAACATTAATTGGTGTGTTACTTCTCATTCATATAGTTATATTGGGAAAAAATGTTCTACAGATTAATGATAAATTACAATCGTACAGTCTTGACATTCAAGTACGTCAATCAGAAGAGAAGCATAGTTACAAGAGGATATCCGTCGCCAGAATCAGCAAACACCTCAGTGGTTACACATTCGTTAAGAAGAAAAGATGATATGAGCCCATTCTAACACCTTTAGTTGAATCTGAGAAAGACCTATTTTTAGGAAAGGTGATGTAACAGAAAAAGGCAAAATTAAGTTTTAAATTCATTGTGATTTCCGTTCAACACTACTCTCATTTAAGTTGGATATGATGCTTATCAGGTGTAATACTTCTTTTATCTGCAATGTAATATTTTGTCCAGTATAGCAGTGAAATATTTTAGCATGATATTTGTTCAAGACAATATTTTTTGTACTAATTCAGTGTAATACTCGTAGCTTCAGTATTTATGTACCATTTCGATATATTTCCAAGATCAAATAAATCCATATCACCAGTCTTTATACCTTTTTAGTGACGCTACTCACAAGAATGTTTGTAAGTAGTGTGTGGCAGAAAATGACGTCGAATTTGCGACAATCCTCAGATAGAGTGAACAGTTTCAGTGCATAGAATGGTTGTTGTTGGCAGAACACATGGAGACCAGATAAGAGGTCATTTCAGACAACAAAACACACCGAAACATAAAAGTGGACGATTGAAGGCTAAGTATATGCATTATGTAAATACTTTGTAATTTCTCACAAAAAATACACATCCCCCCGAACGTTGTTGTGTTTTACACCCTTACCATGCATCACCAGATTGGGGTTTTCAGTGCCAAGCACAAGTCAGCTGACCATACAGCAGATATAACAGCCCATTTTATCAACTGAAGAGTGAACAGTGGATGCCCCTATCATCTTAGGAACCGAACCCAATAGCTTACGGTCAGTAACTTCAAATCTAAACCATTTGTGCATTTTCATACAAAAGCATCTCCATTAGACCTAAGTTTTATTCCATAACACTTTCAAGAGCCTGTTAGTTGGAATTTTTAAAGTGAAGAGTCATTTTGGTAAATTTCCTCTAAATAAAGCTAGGTAATTAATAATGTGAGCTGCACAAATTTAAAAATGGTTTAAATAGAGAAGCTCTATTTAGTTCAGCGGTTAATTACTGTTCATTATAATATGATATGTCAATATTTTACTAAATGTACAACAGAACTAAATAAGACAAGCCATTATAGGAACAACTAGGCGATTTAGATACCTTGAGTACTAACACCAGTTTAAGGGATTTACATTTAGGAATAATAAGTTAAGATAATAAAATGTGTGGTAAATATAGGAACACTAACTTGGAAAATAAACTGTGGTCGACTATCAACAAGCACCTTTCGACTTTGCGCGATCCTACCATGTTCAACATAGTATTGCTGCCAAATTAACGATAGATCGACTGACTGATAAAAGAATCAAAAGGATATAAATAAAGTAGTGTACAAAAGAAGAAAAATTACGGTCAGTAGATGCTGAACGGATAGGATAATCACCTTTAAAACCACTTGATGTCACATGAATAATCATTGAGAAGAAAAACGTACTGAGAAAGTCTTGTTGTTCTGATTGAAAGCTAGAAAATAGTACACTCAGTTGACTACTTTTACAAGTGTCGATGTTTCTCAAGCATTACTACATGACGTTTAACTTTTGTGGCATTTGACTAATTCTTAATGGCTTGCACTCGTAAATGAGATCACATTATGATACTTACATTGGAGAGAACTCAGTTTTTCTGGGAACATATTATCATTTATTTGAACTTCAAGAAAGCGTTTCTGGGCACACTATCAATGGTAGTCAATCCAATTGACGAATAATCTGGATATAATCCTTGGAGGCGTGAGTTTGATTCAGAAATAAGTCACAACTATGGCATGCTAAAAACAGGATGAAATCAACCTCCGTAAACCTTCAATCCACATTTGAAATAATATTCAATTATTCAGTTAGTGTGTGGGCTGGGATATTGTCTCGGTCACTGTACAGAAACAGGTAGTTTTCTTAGAGTGCCACTCCCTAAGCCTTTGACGTACAACCCTAATCAATGATACAGTGAAGCAATATTAGGATATCTGGTCCCATGGTAGCCGGTCACCAATAATGGGTTAATATACCACTTTTTCCATCAGGATAACTAGTAGATAAGACCTACTGACTTTATAGTAAACACAAGTAATATCTTAATGTTAGGCACCTTAGGCCAGTTCAAATAGCGAATAATGTATTCATCAACCACAAACTATTATAAACAAGAAATTTCCTTATTGAGGTAATAACTAAAATTATTTAAATGAATTAGAAATACAGCTTACTTCTTCCCAAGATTCAGTTCCTTTAAGTGTGCACAAAACTGACCGATTTTCCATCGTTGTTAAACTCATTATACACCTATAGAATTCAGAAAATTGGTGACTTTAGTATACAAATAATTGAAAATCAACTCCAAAATATGATTTGTCTCAAAATGCTCCCTTTCATTGTTGTGTGCTCTAACCACCCACTAAACTCAACAAAATTTTAGTAAACTAAAAAATACAGATTTAACAAAGCGCATGAGCAAAAGTCGATAAGACTTACATTTCAGAGGGTTTATATTTACGTTCAACTTCAAAACATTCTACGTGCCTTAATGATATGGAGAACTCAGTGACCAGAAAACTTAACTTTTAGTAATTTCGTCATTTTACGTTCTATTCTATAAACTACAGAATGAACAGAAAAAATGTATCATAATACCTTCACACACAGGATATAGTTCACAGAATGACGCACGAACCTGAATGGATTATTGTGTTGAGACGGTGGTTACTAGTCCCAGATCAGCTCACTGAACACAGCCTCGTTTAAGTAACCCTAAGGATACGTTCTACTCCTACACCAATTTTCTAAATACTTATCTGCATTTATTGATTCGGTTCATATTAGAGCATTTTCCAAATGTAAGATCTTAGTGTTAATTACAAAGATATTTTCGATGCTAATCAACCATAGAGTACACACACTAACCACGTATCGAGAACATCGTAAACTATAGTGAGTCACTGGTAGATTAGCATATATCAAATTAATAAATCTTATATGTTCTGTGCATGAAACCATTGACAAATATGAAAACATTTAAACCAAAATAGAGCACTATTTTGAAAAAAACATATATCTCACAAACACGAAGTCAGACAACACGAGAAATGTCTAAATCCTGAGTATTACGGATAGCGACTTTCATGCACGAGAAATAGCGTACTTCAAATTTGTAAAAACCAACCTTTCATATTTATCAACTCCTCTTGGACTCCAGGAAACTAACCGAGCTCCATTCTTGAGATTTAAGATGTCTCGATTCATTTGTTCATAAGGAAAGAGAACAGATCTGTTTACGTTTTCTTTGAGGGAGGATTCTGTGTTTGAAAAAACAATAAGGAGACAAAATCAATGAGCTTACTGACTTCATGGTCGACTTCAGATCCTTTTAACACACAATCATTATCAAGTTCAATCCTTAAAGAACCACGAGAAACAAAGTCAACTTCTTGAGCAATTGCTATCTTCTTAGAATGGTCGTCATGAAGTGAAAAAGAAAAATTCTAAATAGGAAAAACAAAAATAAATATATTTATTGAAAGACATATATGAGCTAACAAGAATTGTCGCTGAAGTTTGTAGTGGGGAGTTAACAGTAGATGACTGAGCGAACTCACTGAAAGTCTTAAGTAATTTAGCAGTCGTTGAGTCTTACAATAGCTGTTTTTAGAAATTCGATTTTAGTTTATCCGTGAGGAGTACGCATTAAACATAAACCAAACGTTTACCGAATTATTTAACAAACACGCTTTGGAATACTATAGTGAATTAATGCAACCCGTACAAACTACTGGCGAGTCACCAAAATACTGACTAGATGAACTCCTGAAGTGAGTACAGCAGTAAAAATGTAATTCAAAGAGCTGATTAACCAGTTTCTGACATTAAAAAGCAAATCAAACTTTGCACAACAATTACTTTATATATATATATATATATATATATATATATATATATATATATATATATATATATATATATAATCATTACAAAATCCAGTAACGAAAAAAAGCGGTTTGAATTTCATACTACATAGGACACAAAGTAGGGAGTTTATTAGTACTTTAACTAGGCGGTCACATACCAACCTAGATGTGCAAATATAATTAAAGAGAGTAGTAGATGAAACAGGTGCTATTACATTTATGCAGTAATGACGGACATTTTATCAAACTGACAGTTAGTTTCTTATGATCATGCTTTGGAAACATCAGTAACTATATAGTTGGGTAAAACTTACCAAAATATATAATTTTTCGGTTGTCGGAATGGCAATCTTATCTTCAGAAGAACCTACACATCCTCCAGTAGTACAAATGGGATCTTTTACTGATAGAACAGTGGAAGTTTTTGGTGAAATAGTAGGATTATTCACGATTAGCACCATTCCGTACTAGAGTTAGATTTAATATAAAGGAATTATTGTTAACAGGTGTACAATCGATCAAAGTAAGTACGTATTTGAAAAAATGATAAAAGTTACAGAAATGAGTAGTTGTGCATACATTTTATAATGAAATAAAAGGAAATGATACAACTGACTTTATTGGAGCACTACTTGATCAGACAGTATACTTTAGCTACCACGCATCGAAGTCGTTGGTATTTTTGTATTCCAATGATGCTACGCACACCTCATGTATTTGGGGTAAGAAAGATGACCAGATTAAGAAACTTATTTACCCCACTGATTATGTGGACAGATTACTGCCATTTGAATGGTATATACAATATTATCGCGAAAAATGCTATCAGACTCGCCACCCGATGGTCCTTCAGGAAGATTGACAAGAAAGAGCTTATGTGTACAGTAATTTAACAATACATAACTTAACATTTTACAGTCGGCAATTGAAGGAGTAGAACAGCTTCTGAGTTGCCAGACGAAATTGCATCCTTTAATTTGGTAGTGCTTCTGTCGGGGATGTGAAATCCTCAAATACAACTTATGAGAAGGAAGATCGACACCAAGTCAACATGGATATAAGTTCGAATCTCAACGTTCCCGCAATACTCAAAGGACTTTCGGTGAGTTGTTCACTATGATTTGTACTTAGAACAAATTTTCAAGTCCGTATGTTATAAACGATATAATCGATAACAAGCTAACTTAAATTTAAACTTGATTATCACGGGGTATCTATCAAGAAAGCTTCTATATAAAAACTTAACTGCTCGCTTTAGTTAACAGGACAGGAAATGAGATATTATTAGTCACTTTCAACGTGTTGACATTGGAGTTGTACAGTAGTACCTTCGTACACAAACGTATCAACTCTAGACCATTAAATTTGGTGGTTTTGAAGAAAGCGACGAGACTATAATTTATGGATGAACTAATCAGATTTACGACGACAGGTCTTGAGTTTTGGCGCGAGATCCACTCATCCATTTGGTTAAATAGAGTTTTGGCATTAAAGATGTTGTCAGTTCGTGATGAAAACCCTATATCTGATTCTTAACATAATTCCTCACGTTGGTTTATGACCCTCGTTTAGCCGTAGTATGCAGGCGGGCATCCTCAAGGTCTCTTTAGCGTTGCTCAAAGGTCGTCCATATATTATAGTCTCACTGCCTAATTTATATTCGATCTCAGCAGTCAGTACAGCTACCTACTATTAATGACCAACTTAAGCTGGCCATAATGATGAACTAGCGATAATTGTACCCGATTAACGTCTTGACACCATACATGAGAAACTAAAACTTCGCAGTTTGCTGAGTATTGGTGGCTGGTAAAATGAATACTTATGCTGGATACGAGAACCAAATTCAAAGATATGCCGCAAATTTACCGAAATGTATTATTTATATGAGCGGAAAAGCCGCCAAATGTTAGTAATGAGCTACAAAATTAATTTCCGACTCATACAAAGAATTCAGAATGTCAAGCCACTTAAAACCATGATCACTGCAGTGATCAACCAATTTCAACAGGACACAGATGAAATTGAGTAGTAGAAGAATTGCCATCATTTGAATAGTTGCAACATACTAGAATTAAATCACATGTAAAGCAGAAACATGTGGATCACGAAAAAGTTTAATAGACTTTTGAAAAGTCGTTTGCCCTTGAACAAGACTTTCAATGTATAATATTTTTATGACGAGCTCGAAACCTTACGCTATCAACTTCTAGCTTCGGTAATCAGATTGTCTTAATCTCGCTATCGCGTTATTTTTCTTGCTGTTTATTTCTCTCATTATCAGGTGTAAGTGAATTTTGTGTCCTTTACGAGTAGTCGGCTCACTTCTGTCAATATTCTCTCTTCCAGATAACTTCGCATATTGGAGAAGTAACGTGATCTTCTGTTAAGTAGCGCTCGAAGTCATACCCAAGTAAGACATGATATGTCTCTTGAAGATAAAATAAAAAGGAAGACGGCACTAGCTCAACTAGAAACCCGTCGACGAAACGGTGAGGAGGATCTCCGATTACTGGGTCTTCGAATAGTCAGGTCTTGAAAGCGACCGCTACCAAGACATGTGTGAATAGGCCGTTCTTTCTCGGCGTTTTATAAGCCGATGCTCACAGTCTAAGAAGTAAATTCTATGAAGTAGGAGCATGAGAGGACAAATTATAGCCACGTATTGTAACTGTGATAGAAACTTCGACATTACTTGTGATCTGACTGGGTTAGTATCTTTCGGATATAAACGCGTTACGCACAATAAAAATTGTCAAACCCTAAATATTGCGGGTATCCTTAAGCTCAAGTTAACGGTCCTTCTGTCTTTGTGATAGTCGCAGATTTTAGCAAAGCATTCGATAAGGCTTCTCACGTACATTAATACAGAAGCTCCCGCACTTTGAAATAACGGGTGCCATACGATAGTGAATAAAATGCTAAAAATCGTGGGGGTGGGAAAACTGGATATCATCTGAATGGAAACCGTTTAAAAGAGATGCAACGCATCATAGTAGGTCCTCCATTTTACATCCCTACGAATTTCACTACTTAAGTTGTCAAAACTGCGATTTTCAGATGGTATCAAATTCTGGAGAACGATATGTGGAGTGGCTGGTTATCTTGATTTGCGTGTTAAAATACACAAATTAGTTAAATGACTTCAAGGTTGTTACTTGGAAATGTATACCAGCGGGTATAAAATGTACATCGGACACCATTATAATATCGACGGCAGACATCATCCTCGGTGAGCAGGGAAAAAGAGACTTTGAAGTATCAATAATACGTAGTAAAAGTAGAAAAATTATGTAACATGCATCAGACTCAGCCGTATCAAGGAGGTGACAGTGACCATCTGGTGATTACAAGTTTTCACGTCTCCTTTTAATGCCATCCACTGGTGAAGCTGAGTTTACTTCAGTTAAGAGAACATTCCAACCGAGTGCGACTTTTAACGAGAAAAATTGGGGGTGCACCTCAGTTTTCGCTGTTTGACATATAATCTCCAGAACAGCAAGGTGATGTTCCAATAACATGATCGTACTGAAGAGGCTCGGGGTACTTAATTTGCCATGTGTTATTATCAACCCACCCCCTATTTTCCCACGGCGTTGTAAACTGTCCCCATAAAATTTGTAGTAGAACCGTCACCCACTTTGTTGACCGTCTCTCTACGTAGCCTTAGAGATTTGTTTCTCTTTAGAATGGAGGGTTCGCTAGGATATTGCAGGCTCAAAGATGCTGCTGTACGTATGTCCTGAACAGCGTTAGGGACAACCTTCGATGAATGTGCCAGGTTGTCTAAATATGATACAGAGAGTTGTGTTTGCCTTAGCTACATCTACTGTGTAACGTGAAGTGGTGTATAGTCTCCCTGTGGTTAGTAGCCTAAGTTCTCACTCTGAGGAATCAGAAGCGTATTTCCATGGTGGGTTTAAGTGTTATGTGCCAAATAGGACATTTTATCTGACCGCATTTCAATACGTTTTCTACTATCGATTCCTATATTGGTGTGAGGCACTTTTGAATTCGTTTCACTTTTTATAGACCTTCAGACCTTTTCAGTACGTACATTACTAGTGCCGCTGGGTTTGCTTTATCTAAAAGTTAATGAACAAAGTCCTGGAACAGGAGTGGATCTATGATTGTTCATTTGCGACCTTCTGATATTGGAGCCTTTCAGCTCGCGTGTACTCTATATACCTTGATAAGAAACAACTAACACGCCTACGATCGTTTTGGAACAGAGTTATCGATGACAAGATGGCTACCGGTATTCAGAAACCTTAATGCCCTGAGATGAACACACCCAGATTACAAAATGTGCAAACTCAGGAACAACTACCAGACTGACTAGAATTAGTGCGGTCGAGTGGCTAGACCATTATCCATTAGAGGACGAGGAGCGAGTGTAAAGAAATCGACCGGCTTTCACAAGCTCGTGACAGGTATCGAATACTAATTACCATTGGTCTGATGAGAAGTAAAGATTTATACTGCACTTTATAACGTGTACTATATATAGACGTACTAATGAATGAAAAAGTAGTGTCGAAACTGCTTTCTGAATCTGGAGGATTCAGTGGTGTGATAGCCAATGTAAATGTGATGGCCTACTTTCTTAAATGAAACATCAATCAGTTTACCTACGTGTTTGTTTAAGCCTGAAGGATTTACAAAACACTATGATTCATTATTCGTACCATTATAGAAAACCCAGAGCACACCTAGCACCGGCCGCGAAGAATGACATGATCTACTAATTTAATAACATCTTTTCTAAGGGATGGAAATGTATGTATGTATATGTGCCCGTTACGGGAGAGCTGAAAACATTTGGTTGAATAAAACCTTTATATATTGAATATTACTAATTTCACTGTGTTTTTTGAATGTATTTGTTTTACTCAACTACTGAACATGTTTGTTTATATCATTATTTTCGGACATTTTGGTTTCTCTTTGTCTTGGTTTGGTATTTGGGAGTTTTTGCTCCGGGAACCTACAAAATTGAAGGTTGTTTTGTAATTCTTATGATTATTGTTGTTAAAACGACATTTGGGTCGACTATTTGTAAATTGCGAATAAACTTTGGTACCTAAATTAGAGTTTGGTTCTATTGTTAATTTGTGTTTGTAAATTTCAAAAAGGTTCGATGGCGAGACTCTAATTTAGGGACGACCTTTGAACGAATTTTAAGTGACCTTGAGAATATTAGCCAATCAGAAGACAGCTAGTATAACGTAGAATATATTAGAAGAAACTAATGGATTACAGTGAATATACTTGTTTTACATGATTTAAAAACTTATCAAGGTTTTCTAAAGTTTTAGATGTTATGAAATCATATTGCATACGGTATAAAAAGTCATAAATTCCAAGTACCTGTCGAGTATATTTACGGAAATGCTACTAAGTAGCAGTCCAGTGGTATGAGTACGTACTCAGTTAGTTATGCGTGACCTAGACACGCGAATATGTACATCAACTCGTGCTGCCATTAGCACTACGAGGTAAAATTACTGAGAAAAACCCCTGGGTAGTGGAATTACAAGCGGCATTATTAGGAAGCACTAACAATGAATGTAATTATTTGGGAAAAGAGGTTGAGATCATGTATTTGAATGTGTACATTAATCTTGAAACTCAATAAATAAAAAGTGAGGAAGTGTAGGTGTACTGGCGTTATTACGTCCGATTTGAAGCTATACAATATAACACCCTCAGTTATTAGTTCCAATGATCTTTTGGACCCTAAAGAGGTGGGTCGCACCTGTCTGTACTGGTCAGTTTGACTGCCAGTGAATTCATGTTCAGCTTTGGCCTGCAAGTGACAAAGCAGATGAAAGAGAATATAAAATACTATGCGTTCATTGATGACAAGAGAATATTCTTTTTTTTACTAAGTATATTTGAATCACCAAAGAAATACATCAATCGCCTGAGTACATGAAAAATCAAGGCTAACTGAATTGCATGTTTACTAACCATCAAGTTAATAAATACGAAACTCTACTGCATCAATTTTATTTAAAGTATTTCTGAATGAGATTCGAGAAATTAGTAACATTTATGATATTATTAAAAAAGAAGTCAGCAAAGAAAACATCTGTAACAACAAAAGCAGAGTGCAACAAATAACAATAAGTTAACAGGAGCTAATCAGATTATCTGCTGAACAGTTAAAAAGGAAAACAAAAGAACTGAGATATTGTCGCAGTATGTGACAATATGTGATCATGAAGTATCAGTTATTACCATTAATAAAAGAGACAATAAATTTATTTTGGAAAGACTTATTCTTGCCAAATGAAGGTTTTATTTATAAAAAGTTCAAATCATTTAGAGCGATCAATATTACCGGGTTGAAAGGAGGGGGAGGGATAATGATTAAAAAAACAGAGAAGCCATAAAATTATACAACGATACTATCTAAAAACAATAGAAATTGTAGTTACAGAGTGAATAAATAAATTCTTTACCAAAAATATGAAAACAAAACAGAAAAAGACATCTATAAACTTGTACAGAATTAACACCAATGTACGGAAGTGAAGGGATGAAATATTGAAATACAATGATAATGGGACATTAGAACACAGAGAAGGACCAAAGCAGTCAAATAGTTGAGGGATATACAATTTTAGCCACAATAAAGCCAATCCCGAAACTTAGAGCATTGTCTTTCAATAGAAAGTTCTTTGGAGAAATGGTCGCGTAACAATACCTGTTTCCAGAAAGCTTTCTGAAAATCACTTAATTTCAATTTCCAAAACGACTGAATCATACTTTCAACACTAGGACGTCCGTCGTCACATTCCGTGCCATGCATACTAACGTTGTCAGTTGAACTGGTTGAAGTATAATAATTAAATCGTTCAACATTTTGTAATTCTTGTGTGAACAATTCAAGGAATAAACAATTGACAGAATCCAACATTTCTTCTTTATCTTCGTCTACACATTCTACGATTACTCGAATTGTCTAAAAATATTAGTAGTAAAAAAGGAAACTTGAAATATAAATTAAAATGTTGTGAACATGAAGACAAAACAAATTAGTAAGACTTAAAACATATTTCAGAGTGAAATTTCATTAGTTCATTATGAGGTATACACACTGTGTCTACAGATCTTATTGTCTACAAAAACCCCGATAAAATAGTCAGTGATTTAAATCTGCTTTACTGATTGAATACTGGGTAGATTGTAGATGTACAATCAAAATATCCTTGTCAATAGTTGACTAAGAAAATTCTCAGTCAGTCACAACGTAGAAAATGGTACGTACTTACACCGTTTCAAGGATTCTATAACCATAAAATTCGAGAAGAAAATGACCATGATCATTTATGAGTCTTCAATAGAAGAGAGTGTCATCTTCTATGAAAGCGTGCAATCAATCTGACAAACACATTGAGAAACTAAATAGAACCAAAAAAAAACTTAGCATTGTTCCTCTATTTCATGGATAACTGTGATGCTTGTAGGAACTAATGATTCCTTTGTACTTGTTGACCGCTTGATTTCGAATTCCAAATACAATACGTTTGTTCATGCTCATATAATACTTCTTGGTTAAATTGCGTTATTTCTGGGATTCTTAGTTTGTACTATAATTCAAATACTCATAATCATAACAATAATTTCAAACCAAACACAACTTTTCCCATTCATATAAAAAGAGTTTACAGTCATCGTTGATTTTTTTTTTACAAAAGATTTCCTATCAATGCTTGACACGTATTGATAAAAATACAAACTAGAAATCATTAGACTGTACGTTTCCAAATTATTTTCGTTGTGATAACCACATATCGTCACCACACACTAAAAAATAACTCGAGCTCCTTGTTTAAAAAAAGATATAAGACAATAAAACTCTCCAACTACATTTCTTATACGTTAGCACACAAAGTGAACAGTTGAAACTTTGAAAGTCCGAGAATGATCTCTTACCTCTGTTAAACATTGAAACTGATTATAATTCAGTGAAATCTGTTCACTTATATCTCTTGAACTGTATTTATTGCTGATAAAACCTAAAGGATCTGGAATAACAATTGGAATTTCATCGGCTTTTTCATGTGCGATTTCTAAAGCATATCCAGAAACATGACGTTTTGAAACTTCATCATTTTTATTATCAACTGTGTGCTGTTGTTCTATACATTCCTCAGCAATAATATCAGTACCGATCTCTACTGTATCGAAATCTGATTTAGAACAGATATGATAACTGTCAATACTTGTATCGCAAGAAATAGAATTATTATTATTATCTTTTTTACAACATTCAATATTGTTGAATGGCAGCATACCACCTAGTATATTCCACTTGGATTCATTTCCTTGTTCAGATGTAACCCAGTAAGGAGATCGATGTAATAAAAATAATAAACGTAGTTTTGTATTTAGATCATGACCACATATACTTTCCATTAACCAAACAAAACTCTAAACAAATAGAAAAGGCGAAATTGAAAAAAGTTAGACATATGTCGCCTGAAAAACAAAGTAATTAAGTGGAAAACTAACATATTGGATTAATAAGAAGCCATCCAAACTACAAGTGCACATAGCTGTTCAATAAATGAATTGCATTTCTCTCTCTCTCTCTCTCTCTCTCTCTCTCTCTCTATATATATATATATATATATATATATATATATATATATGCTATTTCAAGTACGTCTTGTGATGCAGTTGCTAGCAGCATCCCAGAATTCGTCTTTGATTCCGAAAGTGGAAATACTTTTCTCACGTGGTTCAAACGTTGGGAAGATACATTTAGAATAGAATTCTGTAACCAAGACGACGCGTGGAAGACTCGATTGTTGGTACGTAAGTTGGGAAGCAATGAACATGCACGTTATGCTGACCATATATTGCCAAAGTTACTTCGAGAGCTCAATTTCGAGGAGACGGTAATTCAATTGTCAGAGATAGTCGGTGAATCCTCCTCATTGTTTAGTATTCGACATCAGTGTCTAAATTTGGTGAAACGCAAAGCCGATGAATATGGTGTTCTAGCAGACATCGTCAACACAGAATGTGAACGGTTCAAGTTACGCTCGTTGACAGAAGACCAATTTAAATTCTTAATATTCATCAAAGCTCTTCAGTCTCCACAAGATGCTGAGATTAGGACTAGACTTTTGACTCAACTGGATCAAGACCAAAACATCACACTCAGAGCATTGACAGATGAGTGTAAGCGGCTACAAAGCATCATAATACTAAGAAATAGGAATAGCTGGGTTATGAACCGTACGAGAGAATTATAACACAAACATGCATGGATTGTTGCTCAAACAAACCAGATGACTTTGCATTTTATAAACGTAAGTGAACCACTTGGTAGGAAATGAACGCCTGAAAAACCGGAGGGATGAAGTGTCATTTTTAGAAGGACATATATGATGGAATTAAGTAAAAAAAAAGAACAAGCGGACAACCCTTACGTACACAGCTTGAAGTTGATAATTCTAGTAACAGTTCCTCATAAGCCCTGGTCCAACAAATAATGTCTGAGTAGAGAGCCTTCATATGACTTCTTAGTATGGCACTATGACTCGCAGACAAATTTCTACACAGTTAGTTTTAATACATCCGATTTTCCCAAAAGCTATATTCTAATTAGGTAGTGGCAATCTCAACCGTAAAATGACATAAGGCCATCAGAATAATATAGTTTTATCAAAAGTGCTACTTAAAGGATAAATCAAATTTGCTAATCACATCTTCATCAGATAAATTCATGTATTTATTTTTTCGATTTCTCACCTTAAAGTTAATTAGATTATCTTGATCTTGATCTAATAGATGAAAGCATGGAAAGCCTAAACGTTGAGCTGCAGCACCCCATGGAACTAATCCCTGAAATAGACTATTAAATTGACGTGCGTCAATACGATGAACATCATAAGCTGGACGATTTGGATTATTTGTTTCATTATGAGTTTTAGCTGGTGCTATTTGATGGATTCGCTCATATTTCGAAAGAATATAATGATCCTACAAAATAGAATTATTACGATAATTTTTTTCGAAAAAAACAGGAAGTACCATTACTTGTTTATTTATGATATGAATGCTACAATAACGTTTATATTTATCCTCGAAAACAACAATATTGTCTTTTAGAGATAAATTAATCACCTAAAACGAAACTGACAAATATATTATAAGATCGAATAATAACCTATAGACTAAAGTAAGGATGTTTCAGTCCAACTGTCTACCAAACGATACACACTGCATTAAATCTTTTTATTAGCTATAACATCATTTCTTTAACAATCGCCTTTCGGTATGCCCCCAAATGCCCTGGTACGGCCGAGAGTGGGGAGAGTCCGCTCTCCCTCTCGAAATGCTCTCACATGGCCACGCGTATATAGCCCCTGCCAGGGAAGTCCTACTCACTGCCTTCACGTGGCGGGGGTGTTGTTTACGAAAATGAGAGGACGAAAAGCGAATGTCCGGCGCTTTAACCGGATCCCAAACCAATGGTGCACATGGGCTCCAGTATCCTGAAGGAACAAATGGCGTATGAACCAATCGTTGGTCACCGGCTACCATGGGACTGCATCTCCTCACGATGCTCCACTGCCTTGTGGATCAGACGTTCAGGTCGAAGGCTCGGGGTGTGGCCTCCTAAGAAAACCACCTGCTTCGGTTTGGGCACCCGGGCAGTATCACAGCCCTCACACAAATCAATTGAGATTCGTATGGCGCATATGTATTCGGTGCCTCCTTGTACCAATACCTATGTGTTAAAATAAATAATGCCATACCATACTACTCATTACTAACAAACAGTAGTACTACTATATAATAACTAGCAGATTTCATTTCAATCGAGAGAAAAGTCACATAATTTTAATTAAAATACCATCATAAAAAAAGAAATACTGACGACACAATGGAAATGTTCTAACACACAGTTTATCTTTTGGTTTCCAAAAGATAATGATCAATGAAATATTCGATTTATATGCAGGTCGACAACAGGGAGATACGTCTATTTACTGAGCTAGTTGTGCGACAGTTACAAAACATCAAGGCAGATAAACAGGATTACATAAGATATAAATTTGTAACTAAGTGTTATAAGCAGTCAAACAAGTAAGTCACTGAAGCGCAAAAATATAACTTAGAATAAATCATTAAGCTTACACAACTGTTGACTGGAAAGTAGAACGTCAATTTTTTTCATTGTGTAGGTCAACATATACTTTGATTTGGCAATGTGCTTTTAGTATAAGATTCTTGCAGTCGAATTAAGTGTACTTTCACATAGTGCTCCCTTTTAAGACACCACAGTTGTCTAATATTTAATGCGAATTCCAATGAAATCATAAGGCGATGGAAACTGAGAAGCACTGGACGGCCGGTTCGTCCTAGTATGGGACTCTTCACCAGTGCTCGTCGTCGAACCTGCACACGGGAATCATGTACACTTTACTAAAAGTTAAAAATTGTTACTATTATTCTCCTGAAGGAACTTACTCTGTAACATTCAAAAAGCAAGATCAGATCGCCAGGACATTCACGATCTAAACTTCTTATAACTTCTTTAGACGTGTAATCACTAAGTGATTGAATTACTTTAGGCCTATATTGTAAACGCATCCGATCGATAAGTTCATTTGTAATATTGAAATTCCGATCAGCTGAAGTTAACAGATTATATATAGATTCATTTGATGTATGATCTTCATGACGTAATTTATTAAAATATGCATTCAACTTAGTTAAAACACTACTGTCATCATTTTGTTCAACAGATTTCTTGATAAACGATGTATGCTGACGAAGTACATCTAATGCAATTTGGAAAATAACCTAATGAGTGGTGAGAGAAGTGAAGGAAATACCAGTAATAATAACAAAATGAACACTAAAATATACATAAAACAAACGGAAATACTTTGAAAAGTACTAAGTTACTAAAGGAGTATAAATAAATATCGATTGTATATTTGTTATAACACAAAACTACTGAGCAGAGTGATGTTAACTAAAGAAATCAAAGATATTTTTTCATATTAATTAACCAAATAGTCAAATCCAGTTATTACACTGAATGAAAACAAGGAAATACTTTATATGATATCAATTGTTAGCAGATAATAACTATATAAGCCCTAATTATTAAATGTATTACTTAGTGATAAATCTAAATGTATTCATTTTCTTTTTGGATCATGTGAAGTTAATATAATATTGACTGTTAACCAATACTATGTCTATTCTACCGATCACGTTGCGTTGTAGTCACAAGCCTAATTGACCTGAGATAATTAAATACACTATACATTGACTTAATGACTGAGTTCTTTTTTCTGTCATAAGAATTCCATCACTCTTCGTGAAAAGTTTAATATTTATATAATTTGATGTTCACTTATGAGTACACATTAGATTCTACCAAAATTATGATTTCTGAGATTTATTCCAGTCTGTGTATAGACTATAAATTTCGACTCTGGTAAACTATGTGGAATTTATGACATTTACCTACTGAGTGAGCTAAATGGCGAATTAATTAAAGATAGACTGAATGTCCATCGAGTTTCAGCTGAGTGTTAGGGAGATAAAGCTCTACCAACAAGGCTTGAAGGTCCTGAGCTCGATCGCTGTAAAAGTTGTGAATTCAAACTGATGAAAAGTTTTATACTAGGAAGAAATAGTAGTACAGTGTTCCCTGATTTTTGACGCTACCCTAACTGAATTCAATTTGTGAAATATACTACCCAGTAATTAGACAATTCTCCAAAATATCTCTTCATCAAGAATAAGCAATTATCAATTCAAATGAGACTAAAATAACTAATATCTAATGACAGGTCACTGAAAGATAAACCAATTTATAATCCCCATTACTCATTATAACAGTGTACCACTAACAGAAAATACCAACCATTTGTTTGATTCGGAAAAATTACTATTACTATTATCATAACATGTACCGAATGCAATCTAAAATAATAACTTTAAAGTGTTTGACGCTTCGAACTTTATCCTATCCCACTAGTGAAATTATAGGGACATTAATTACTATTACTACATTCACACTATCCTCGATTAATTTAAATATCTGTCGAAATCAATAAACCATGAAAAATCCACTTAGCACTCATATTATGGTGAACTTATCAAAGTAGTCTTTATTGCTTTTCTTCTGTGTTATGTGTTCGTTCGCTTTTCTTTAGTTGAAGATGATTACAATTGCTCTGTAATAGCATTAGAAACAACCCCCAATACACTGTTCATATAACAACAGGATATCCTATTTCCCCTATTAAGAAATAATGGTTCCTAATTGCTCTCTTACAATGTCATAATTCTTGTTTTAAATGTCCTACCAAAACGGTTTATGAACCACATCTTTTTAACCTCATATCTCTGTTCTTTAAATGTAAAAATTATTACTTTATCAACCAGATAATGTATATCAATCACTATGCATTCTGTAATTACTTCTAGAATGTATATCATATCATAATATCAATCGATCTAGAACTAGTAATATATATATATATATATATATATATATATATATATATATATATATATATAGAGAGAGAGAGAGAGAGAGAGAGAGAGAGATTGAATTTCACCATTCTATGAGAAAGATTATTAAACTAACATCATAATTACAAGACCGAAACATAATTATTTAATCATAAATTTTATTTAACCTCCATCCAGATGAAGATAGATGAAACTTGAAGACAATAAGTTTTACAGGGATGAATGCTTTAAAGTGTACTTTCCCTATCAGTTAGTCAGTCAGCTGCAACGTAGGACGAAGCACATATGTGCATCGGTCCAAGTTGCCATACCGCATTAGCATAGCAAGATGAACACCGGATTCACAGAAGTAGTTAATCCAGTGGTGGTAATATATAGAAGAAAGAGTGTGTATAAGGAGATAGTACAGGAAGATAGAATTAGTTCATAGAAAGAAAGACATGAGGCGATTTTAATCTCTTAGTTTAAAGGAAGACAGAGAGTGTATACACCTACGCCATTGTGATCGATTCTGAGCCATGTCACCAAGAGTCTCCAACCATTGGTTACGATAGTCACGCGGACTCCAACCAGGCAGTCTGCATCTACCAACATGGCTCAGACCAGAAGTTAGTGACTTCAAGCACTGATGCCACGTTTTGGTTTGGCCGCCCCTAACTTTCTTCCAATTATCCCTAACACCGGTCAGCATTGCGCGTCGTGGTAATCGGTGTCCAGGCATACGCAACACGTGGCCCAACCATCTCAGTCGATGAAGATTCATAACCTCATCAACTGATTTACAATCATTCCCTAATACCCTGCATCTAACCCCACTATTACTCACCCGGTGATCCCAGCAGATACCCGCAATATTTCTAAGGCACCTGTGGTCAAATACTAGTAACTTACGAGTATCTTCTACTCTTAATGGCCATGTTTCACAGCCATATAGTAGAACGGAACGAACTGCCGCGGAGTATACTCGTCCCTTAATTGATAGACGGATATCTCGCCTTCGCCACAGATGACGTAAGTTGGCAAAGGTCAAACGAGCTTTTCGAATCCGTGCTGAGATTTCATCAGACACCAACCCATTAGGGCTGATCAGACTTTCAAGATAAGTGAAGTTGTCAACGCGTTCGACAACTTCACCCCCTATTCTTAGTTCAGGTGTTGACGCAGACCAGTCCAGAAGCAACAACTTGCATTTAGAGGGAGAGAAGTGCAGCCCAAACATTCTGGCGTTGTTGCTCAGTGCTACCGAAAAACTCTGCATTTTATCAACGTCTTCACCAAACAGGACTATGTCATCTGCGTATTCTAAGTCGATAAGTGGACCTCCTGGTAGGAGATCAATACCTGAGAATTCAGTCGATGAGAGCGTTATTTCCATCAGTAGATCTATGATGAAGTTAAACAAAAATGGAGAAAGTGGACAGCCTTGGCGGACACCACTTGAAGTTGCAAAAACAGATGACAGTTCGCCATAAGCTCTGACTCGACTAGTAGTGTTCGAGTAAAGAGCCTTCACAAGGTTTATGTACTTCTGAAGTACGCCTTTCAATGACAGACACTGCCACAAAACCTCTCGATCAACAGAGTCAAACGCTGCTTTTAAGTCAAGGAAGACCACCATTGTCGGACGCCAATAAGTATGTCTGTGTTCTAGAACCTGACGAATGGTGAATATGTGGTCTATGCATCCATAACCAGGTCTGAAGTCAGCTTGATACTCTCGTGTTTGTAGTTCACGAGTCTTAGTTAGTGATGTGAACTGGGAAACAAGAGACCCTGAAAAACTACGAAAGCTATCTTTCGGGACGTTATTTCATTTTATTCAAAGCTTGCAAAACACTGACATTTATTTTTGTCCCTAATCTATTCTACAGAACATAAGCTTTCGTTCGATGTATCATTCACTGCCATACCCTTTTCTGTTCCGAAGCTATTGTAATTTAAACATATTATTTTGCACCCTATTTTTTACTCTAATTCCCAGCTTTGGACATAATTGTATTTTTCCTAATTATTGTACGTTGCGGTCGGGTTATTCACCTATTTATTCCTGTACCTTTTTACACTAATCTGAATTCAGTGAAATCAGTTAAATCAGGAAGTCAGAGAAATCAGGAATACATCGAGTAGTGTTCTAAATCGTCTTGTCTTCTCTCATTCGTGCACTTGTCCACCAATCAGGTGACAGAATAGTTTTCTTCTCTCTACCCCATCTCGAACTCACGCGTACCAGTCTCAAGGTAAAGCCGATCAGCGTATCGCATCAAAGTCTAAGTCTACATTAGACAAGTATCCTCGGCACCAAAAGTGGGTAGACAAATCAAGGTCATAACAGTTAGGCGTCCGAAAAATATCGAGGCAAGTGTTTTAGATACTACATTAGTCAAACTAATCCCTCTACGGCTGTCACAGGATGATTTTGACCCTTTCTAATATATTGGGACGATAAGTGATTGTGACCAGTCAGAGGGAATTACGTCCAACTCCCAGATTAACTATAGCCCTTTGAACTTCAGCTAGAGTTGGAGGATCTACTTCAATGTTCCATTCACACTGTCTGGGAATGGAGGGTAGTTGTAGAGTAGCTGAAGGCCAGCTGAACTGTTCTCTAAAATGCTCCGCCTATCATTCTAAACGTCTGGATTGGGAGCAGATGAGAGTGTCTTCTTTTTCCAAAATAGTCTGACTTACACTTGACTTAATAATTCCAGTTTCTTTTATTAGTCTGTAGAGTTGTCTTGTGTTCCCTATAGCCGCCGCCTTTTCCACCTCTTTTTTGCTTTCGCTGCCCACCACTGTTCATGGTCGTTCCTTAGACTTTTGCTTAACCTAGATCTGATTTGTTTACGCTCTTCATCGTGTTCAGAACCTGATGGGATGAGTTTACACGAATCTATCAGTGCAATAGACCTTGAAAAAATCCATTGGTTCTTTGTAACCCTATGGTTTAAATCACTAATAGATGTCACTGCTGTTTCGGAGTTCAAACTGATACTCGAGAATGAGCGACAATCTTCTATCGACCCTCTTCAACGATGACTGATGGCAATATGGTCTATTTGAGTCCATCGTTGGTTTGGTGCAGAAGGTCGCCATGTTAGACGATGTCTCTCCTTATGCTTAAAACTTGTGTTTGCTAAAAATAAACGATTGTCTGAGCACAGTTGCAGCAGACGATCACCATTATCTGTTCGCTGTACCGGAATACTAAAATACCCACCTAAATGTCTTTCTGTTTCGTTTAAGCTACCTACCTGGGCATTAAAGTCGCCTTCTATGAGTACTATGTCTGAAAGTTTAGCTTTCTGACGAAGTTCAGAGAGTTTTCTGTAAAATTCATCCTTCACTTCATCCGAGCAGCAGTCAGTGGGAGCGTATGCAGAAACGACGAAAAGGCAACGACGTGTGTCCCTATCCTTCCGAGTTTTTACCGAGCCGTTTAGCCGAACAGCGCATAGACGACTGTTTACGGGGATCCACTCTAATAGTGTTTGTTCTGCCCTCATGCTTAGTGCTATGCCTACACCTGCCAGTCCACGAGAACTAGCCATCGGGTCGCCAGATACACGGAGGGTGTATCTCGTCGGCTCTCCGTTTTGCCGAAGTGAGGTCAAGTGAATGACCACACTAGGATCCTGTATGCGTGTTTTGGAAACAGCATACATCAATCGTACGAGATTCCAGGGTTTTAGCCAAGGAAGCCTGCTGACCGATTTGACATAGTGTGCGTACGTTGAAGGCTCCAATGTGTAGTTTGAAGCGAGGTTTCAGTAGACCTGGGACAGTGTTTTGCGCGCTAGAATCGTTGGCTATGGTGACACTTGAGGAGGAAACCAAAAGAGGAAGCTTAGATTTGAAAGTCGACGTAGGAGGAGGAATAATAGGAATTGAAGAGGGGGGTTGAGTATGAATACAGTGGTCTTGAGTGCTGTTAGAGGTATGAGGGAGGTTATCACTTCCCGGTTGCCCACACCGTGGAAGGGTTCTTCTGGAGGTACCTGAAAAGGAAATTGGATTAGAGGTGGTCTTAGTGACCTGTGAGCGTGACCGCAATGCCCAAGGGACAGCTGCTTGAGGTCGGTCACACACGACCTTTTTATGAGCAATTTTTGTGTTAGCTCCGTACTTGTTGAGACCTTACCGCTGGAGACGGATATCCGTGGGATAAGGCGAGGTGTGCATTGTTAGGGTCGACCTTTTCTAACCCCACCCTCCTTGTGGGAAGGCAGCATCGCTGTTATGCTGGTTGTCTGAAAGAAACACCTTACTGTGTCACACCTCTGTACAGTCAGCAGTACGACTTCGCCTTCGGACCTTGGATTTGTTGCTTTTAGTCTTACCGCTCTTCAACCGACCTGTCTGGCATGGTAGGACCTTGACGAACGGTTGTTCCAGCTAGTATAGCTCAGTTGCTTCATCACGATAGGAAAGCCCGACCACCACGTCAAGGTAGCAACGGTTCCCCTATGGAAATTAAAGGTTTAAAACTACGTATCTCTGAACAAGAATATCGATAGCAAATGTCCACTGAATCCCTGAGTTCACAGGCTGTGTTAATAAAGCATAATAGGTTGGTTGCTTCGTCAGTTGGCATCTGATGGATGACGATTCATATTGTATTGGTTGGTTATTGTTTAGAACTACGGTAACCTATGAGAACATAGTATTAAACCCTAGAATATGAAAAAGATAAACCTAGAACATTGACACCGTTATATGGAAACAAAACTAGAGGCTTTGAGATGACAAATGCTATTTAACAAGTATTACTGTAGTAAACATTAAACAAATAACTTACACGAGCTCCACCATAAAAGAAAAAATCCAAAACATAAACAGCACAATGAAAGGACATAGTACTAATGAAAGAAAAAATCAATAAAATAGAAGTTGGTCAGAGAAAAACTAGTATAGAAATAAGAAAATATACTTAAAAGAAAACGCCAAAAATAATTTTTATTAAAGTTAGATAGTAACTAGCAATGAGATCTAGGATACGAGCTCATTCTTAGTTCAGATACATCAGCTAAATGTACTTGCATCCAAGCGCTGATACTAAGACGTCCTAAATACAAGAAAACGTGGGTTCAGGATTTTACAACTAACCACTATTTGACTTCAAAAAACAACCTGTGACTGAATGGTAATTTCAAGGCAATCCTCTCAATATGCATAACATGACTAGCCAGTTATAGTTTTAAACACGGCGGGAAAAAGACAAACAAGTAAAATAGTTATTTACAGTTTTCAGCTTGAAATTAAACGATGACCTTCAATTGACAAAAAAGTATAGCTCAAGTTATATTTGATGCTTATTAGAAATTCAAAAACTATATGAGAACTAGGAGCAATTATTATCATGATTGTTATATTTTAACGAAAAATAAATAAATAGCGACTGTAAGAAGTTATTTATGGACTATTATTATACATATTCATACTGTATAACTTTTAAGTAACTATTATATGTATATTCATATTCCTTTTACTATAAGCTCCCATTTGACCTATTGACTACTATTATACGATTTACTATCCCTAAGTTATTCCCAATTTATTAGTTACAGCCTCTTAAAATCACAGTCACTTCTGGCTGGATATTGCATAATTGTTATTTTCCATTTTATGGTAAGATGCGGTCTGACTGGCTTGTATATAAACTACGTATGTCCAAGTTACATGATTCATATAGTAGAGGCTGATATTGGTGTTTTGGACCGAACCGGCTGAATTAGACGAAAAGCTACTATCTCAGAGGACCAATAAGAACTCAGAGTTGACTCTAGGCTGTTCGAACAGGTTAACGCGTCATCGGTTTCGCTCAGTATCAAGGTCACATAAGTCGTGTTCTAATTGGCGATCTTATCACATAATATATTAACAACACATAAGGACATAACAACGACCACATGGTGTTATTATACTTTCCAAATATATTGAAGAGAAATGGAAATAATTAGTAGTGTAAAATAGTTTTTTTTTTTTTATGGAAGCTTATCATATTGATTAAGGATGGTATTAATGAAAAGGAACTATTCCAGCCCATTTAGTTGGATAGTTTATTCAGAAAGGTTCTCTTTCCATCAACCCCTAGAAAGCGGGAGGCCAATAAAAAAAATTTAGGTGACAGAACAAGTATCTATCTAACAAACAAGGTTGATGGGACAAGTTGTTAGCTGCATATAGAGATTTTCGAATAACTCACTTCTGTTTGAAGCTTGTGCTATTGATCTTGTCTAGAGAGATAATGAAAGCTAAACGAATACTCTACTTCAATCAGAGAATAGAACTTCAGAATAATCTAACAAACATTAACTGTGAACCATACTTACTTTAAAAACAGCGTCAAGAACCAGCTTAATGGTAGCATACTTATTAACTCTGAGCCTAATGACTGACACATATAATGATGATTGGAAGCTGTTGAAAAGCCGCCAACCATTGATTCGATATTATATTCAGAAGTGACAATATTTTTCAAACTATCTTGTACTGGAATTTGTAAAACTGACTTTAATTCTGGAATATATTCAACGACTAAAGCGTGAAGTACTTGTTGATCAACACGTACACCGGCAACACGACTATCATAGTAATCAGGTAGTAAACGTTCACAGATTGCTGTCAATAACCAAAATGATTGTTCTTCTGTACAATACAGTAATAAAACACTGGCTACTATATTCATTGATTGACAGTATCCTAAAAAATAATTTATAAGAAATAAAGTATTTTATTTTTCGTATTGTACTAATAATGATGATTTTTAACAAAATCATATTGTGCGATTTATACAGTTAAAAAACTTTTAGTAAATCATAAGACAAATACAGTATATTATAAGGGATTTGCTTAAAAATTAATTATACTTCTAATATTATATATCAAGCATTTCAAATCATTTGAAGTTGAAAAGATAAGTAATTCCGGTTAGACTTAATGAATTATAGACAGAAGACGTTTGTTACTTAGGTACACGATCTAATATTTAGTTGTGTGTAATAGAGGTCTCCATAAATCTCTAAATCACCTACCGTTTTTAGCTATGTAGATATTAAGGTACATTTACCTATTTCTATTTATATATGTTAACTACATAATATTCTTACATACTTTTAATTAGGACTTAAAACCGACCATAAATGTGGCAAAAGTATGACATGTGAACATCCTTGAGTTAAACGATCCAAATTACGATAACTCCTCATCGATTTTGCAAGAAATCCAAAGGGCAGTGATAGATAACTTGCATGTTGTTATTAAATAGATGATGATCAAAGTTAATAAAAGTATTTGTTGCGCAACAAAAATGTTAAGATATTGCTTAACCTAAATAACAAAGCATAGATGCGCCAAACTGCTTAATGTATATTCGAGATTGCTTAGTGAAGCTATATGATATTCTCACTTTTACTGTCAATCACAACCCTAAGTTTGTAAACAGAAGGGTGGCAAAGCATTGAATTAGTACACATATCAGATGGTGGAACAAGGTGTAGGAATAGAACAAATCAAAAACTAATTTTCATATACTTTTTTAATGTATTTACGGTTAAAATATTCATTGTTGTAATATTTTATTTTTCGTGCCTAAAAACGTCTTACTACGATCAAACATATAGTAAAAGACAAAACGATTATTATTATTGGTTGGTTTTAGAATGAAACAAAACTGTTCAATAGTTCTTGAAATCTAACTAAAATCGAAAAGTTTATTTGAAATATAAACAAGATATGGAGTATCAGAACATCAATCATTGTTAAATGGTGAGTATTAAATACTCTAAAGTAAGTTATTCAATACGAAAGTTTTTTCATGACTATCAGAATTAACTTTGATCTTCTTTATGGAGTTTAAGTAGAGATCGAGAAATATTGATGAGAATCATTTGTGCCAAAATACATTTTGAGTTGTTGGGGACTGCTCCTAAAACACTACTGTATTGTAGATTACTACTGTCGTGTATTGATTGGTCCTTGATGTTAGCTAAAAGACGTCTAATTAGTCTTTAAGTCTGTTGGTTACTCAGGTTCATGTCTCTTTGATGTAATTATGAATTGTGGATAGTCCAATTAAATTTAGGATAGGGACAAGGATTTTTGAGCGAACGTCATTTGCTCAAATAGTAAAATAGCATTTTGGCATTATAGCTGATCTCAGCTTGTGACGAAAATCCGAACTCTAGTTCCTCACACTAGTTCATAATCCTAGTAAGTGGTTGAAGTTGGTAAAAGTCACTTAAGGATCACTCAAGGTTGTTGGATAAATTATAGGATGACTGTCTAATCCTAATATCTTAACTTGCTAGGTTTAATACTCTAATTTTAGCATCTTAACCTTAATAATCAAAATGCAGGTTAAGTAAGCGACTATCATTGATGAAGCAGTTGGTTACATGTGTTCCTGTTATCTATTCAATCATTAAAAAAATAGACTGTTACTAGTCTAGCCAAAACTTGTCACATCTAATAGACTTTTATCGCAATATATGCCATACCGTAAAATAACGTCGTCTCTGTTATTTATACCTTCTCTGTATGTCATTTGGTGCTCACAGTTACATAAGATCTTATTTCTCTTCAGTACAAAGTTTTGTAAGTGGACGATGATTATACCATCATTTTAATTAGCCAGAATACGAAATCTCATCAGAAACATGGTTCCCTATAACAGGCTATCCGCAATCGTGCTCTGAAAATGCCGCTTCATTTCAACGACTGACATTTTTAAGCTGCTTGGTCGTTTCAAGGCTGTCTGTATTGTTTAATTCGATCAGTCTACTTCCTTTAGTTAAAGCATAAAAAGACATTCGCAAAAGTCAGTGTGATCTTTTATCGCTGTGTGAGGTTGGTATGACTGAACAGTTATTATTTATATAAGCCACACTACGTTACATCCGATGTAGTGCCAGTGGTTTCTACGTGGCGATACTAACTCTCAAAATATTAGTAAATAAGTACACCAATTCAATATTGGATTATATTGAATAATAAACATTTAGTACACAATTACTAACTAGCCAACGAAAATGGGTTTTTTTCTCCAAAAAATCTCGGTTTCGTCGACAAACAAACCAACCTACCAACACTAGGATTACGATAAGCATACGCAGTAAGAACTCGTCGCAGAGACTGAATACCCTCTGGTGTATGATAAGCAGGATGTTCCGGGAATGAACGGTGTAAATCCCGTTCAATTTCTTCATTGACAAAATTACTGCATCCTTGAACACCGTTGATTAATTTATCATAATAGCCTGGATTGGCAAACATCTATGAAATATAATTACAGACAAATAATATGAGATAATTATGTGTGGAATTGAATCAACTTTTAAAAAAACTGCATATTCTGAACGCCTTCAAATCAAGCGCTCCATTGATAAGCATAGATTCAAACAATTGGTAAAGTCTATCGCTTATTTCAACAAACCCTGCTTTATATTGTATCTAATCATCTTAATACTTTCCAAGTGTTTAGATTAATCAATGTGATATGCTATTTAGTTAACCAAAATAATACAGGGCTGTCTATTGGTCAAAGTTATTACATTTCGCATCAATCAGTGAGATGAAACAGGGAATTAAAAATATGAATATCAAAATAGTCAAAATATTAAGTCCTTTTAAATCTATAAACTAATGACTCATGTGAACAGTAGCGAGATAATTCCAAAAGTTCTAGTGAGACGTAACTTGTGGAGTTCAACCATTTCGTGTGAAGCAGTCGCTAACCAACAGCACTGAAAGATTTCCGCGCAATAGGATGAATAGGAGGAGGTTAGAAATGTAAAAAAAACATTGGATGCCGGCCCTGTAATCTAAAGTTTAAGTGTTAGATCGCCAGTAGAGCCATAGATACATACTGCTGAGTAGTTCCATAATAGGATAAGACTCCTGTCCAATGCTTCCTAGTTTTCAATGGCTGTCTAAGTAATGTCGGTCTGTAGTGTCAGCTGAAAACTCTACACTAACCAGAAAGATTATTCTCGAAGAAGAGTATTAATGTAAGTGTTACACAACAAATACGAATTACAATGATTTTCGTCATGTAATCGACAGTGAAGAACAATGATACGATTACTTCTCTTATTTATAAATGAAAGATAATAAGTACACATGTAAGAGGAAGAAGAAGTAGCTATGTCATTTTTATCTGAATAAACATGTGAAATACACATGTTGACATGTTATTTCATAGAGAACTACTTATTTATTTTTCGCTCTATTTCAACTACTTAACCTAATAATCACTTGAAAAAGTTTTAAGAATACTTTAATGTATATTGAATAACTCAAACGAAAAAAAGAATTCACATGAGAAAATTTTAAGTGACTTATAAATAAGTGGAAAGAGATTGAGAGGTATAACCGGTATAATGTTTTTTAAAAAAATGAATAAATAACAGATCCTACGGTTAAGTTTATGGTAAATAGTACAGCGTTTAATAAAAATGTTTATTGTTCTCCGGATAGTAAAATTTCACTTGTGAAATAAAATGTTCTTAACTAAAAGACTGATAGTATCCAGATATTTCATAACGACATAGATACGTTTAGTTTTAATTGGTAAACAACTATTATTCAGAAATATAACTACACTAAAAATATATTTCCTTTTTTCAACATGAGGAATTATTTTTCCAAAACAACCAAAAAAAGCAAATGTTAATTTTACTACTGATTTGTTTATCTTATGTTTTAACTGCTAGAAAAGTCTTAATGAATATCAATTTCTTGCTCAGTTTGTAGTATGTCATAGTAAAGACAATTCGAGATGTGAAAATGAATAAATATATGCTATACGACATGTTGTAACACATGTACTTTTACCTAAACAAGTAATCCACTAGGTAATGGAAACTCCCTATAAACTGAAAGGTAAGGTTTGTTAACGATCTGTTCAACAATATAGATTAGTGTATCATCATACTTGATTATATAGCCAGTTTACATTTCCATACGTATAGTTGTCCACACACATATATGAAATTTTATCGAAACTCCAGCAACACCATGTGGTCACATTAACTTAATAACAAGTATAGAAAAATAAGCGTCTAAAATGACTAAATGATATTCATTAAATGAGAGGGTAGGAGTTTATAGAAAAATTTGTGAACTTTGTTACCTCATTTTCAGCTCCACTTAAAATCATCCATAAACTTCCTCGTTTTCCTTCAGGTAATCCATTTAAAACAAGGTGTTTAAGACGTTCATTTCGATACATCGACATACCAGAACCATACTCATTAAAATATTCCTTCCAATCATCTAAACGTTTATTTTCAGCATCAGGATTATCTACGCTGAAAGGATTATTATAAGAATAACGACTAGCGAAGCATCCGGATCCATCTAATTGACAAACACATAAAAATAATAGTTGCATGAAAAAGGGGAATTCAAAAAGCAACAGCAACAAGTTAAAATAACGAAGGTATTAAACACTTACTCTTTGCAAAGGACATGATGATTTCAAGTTCAGAACATAATATTGGTTGTTTGCATATATATATATATATATATATATATATATATATATATATATATATATATATATATATATATACATTCCAAACATATAAGTTACTTGTAGTTTGTATAGAATAGTTATTGCCAAATGTATTAAACTGGAACTCCAAAAAAGATATCGGATTATTTAGTGCTAAAGAAAAACTACATTACGCTAATAGGTACAGAACCTAAGTTAACAACTATGTAGAGATAATCTTTAATTGTTTGACACTAAACAAATAAACATTACGATTACTGTATTACTTGGACATCTTTTCATAGATTAATCATGGATAAGAGAATTTTATAATAGGCTTTTATCGGGTGACTGTTTTTCGGAAAGCATAGACAAACCAACCCAAATTCATTTATGAAGGTAAAAAGAAATAAACGATGAGTGAAACAAAGTGATTTACGCATCTCGACGGAAATAATATGACGCATAAATGAACATTTATAATATTTCTGACAAATGTTTTATTAAACAGTTTATGAACTGTATCTTATCGAAAAATTTATTCTCTTCATTTTACCTCTACATGTTACATTCCTTTCTGGATCACCTTGATCACCTGAAAACTGTTAACCACTCTCTCTCTCTCTATATATATATATATATATATGTTAAGCAGTGTGACAGGATAAGTTTACTGTTCACTAAAAGTAAAAACTGTTGTAAACAAACACATAAAACATTAGAGTTCTGCAAGTTTTCATTTATATGTACCCATGATAAGAGATTTTAGAATATGTATGTTTGTAATGATAGAACACAACTAACGAGGATAGCCATAAACTTAAAAGTCGATTGTAGCTAACATACTCTAATCTTATAAAATGATCAGTAAATCCAGGTTATCACAACAAAAGCTGTACGTGCATAAACTTATTGATTGGTATGATTCACAACAAAATATCACCTGATCATATATTGTGAATAACTGTTTCAATTAGCATATGTAAATAAAACAGTAGTTTTTCACAGTATAATTGTGATTACAAGTCCCTTTAAGAGGATCAATATTTCGGACCGCATATCACTGCACACAATGGAAAAGTTTAGCCTTAGTTAAACGCGATGACTTGATAGAACTTAAATAAGAGATAAGGTGACTGGCAGTTCAACTATGAAGTTATATATAGATTTGTGACGATATTATGTATACACTTTCTTACATAACCGTTAGAAGTCATTTTTTAAAATGATTGTACAGCCCTCCATCCTAATTTTTTGTAGTACAAAATTACTGAGTACTAATGAGTTTGCCGAACGCTTAATCAAAGATAACCCAAAAATTAAAAACTTTATTTGTTGTAAAGTGATCAATAGGAATTTTGAAAAACTTGCCCTTTAAACTTCTTATTTATAATCAGTAAAGAGTGGATGGAATATGACTAGTAGTGGAATCGAGGACAAGCGTTTCGTCAATTACGAGGGACTTGTTAGTTGGATGTACCTGTATTCCAGAATTGATTTTCACTCCAGGACTTGAACTCAGCACTTTACGCTTCAAATGCCATCGCGTTGTTCACTTAGCTACTAAGTTCAGACAGCCATTTAATCATGCAATTGAAACTAATCACATTTCAAATCGAATTATTTATAGGTTTTATTGAATGTACTAATCGACAATAAGTAGCTTGTCGACCTTAAGTATTGATAAATCCATATACCAAGGTTAAGCGCAACATTATCACTCCATTCTTTGTTTGGCAATTACTACCCAAAAATTGAATATCAATGGCTAATGTAATCTAAGCAATGATGAATTATTTAAGGTGGATTATCAAAATACACTTAACTTTATCAAGTATGATAAATATCAACAACCAACTGAAAATATTATAACAAGTTCATTACAAAACTAATTGTAAATTATTTTATTGACTACTTATTATAAAACAGAACAAAATATAGGCCAAAAAGTGACAGTGAATAAATTCACTTATTAGATATTTTACAATTTAAATGATGAACTCAGGACTAGTACTAACTACTGTAGTAAAGTGTTAGTTGTCGTTTAAGATATATGGTTTATTATAAACATAAATACAAAGTGTCCAGATTAATCATTCACAACTTACTTGAAAAATTTAACTGACTAGTAGTATCTGATGAACTAATAGCTGTTAGACTATCGTTAAACGAACTTGCTATTGAAGTTATGATATCTGAAGGTTCGGATTTGACGCTGAAATGAATAAAAGCAAACAATTATGATTCATACAAATAGTAGATAAAATACGTTATTATGAAGATTCACCGATGGAATAGTAGTGGGCTACTCAATTTCGTACGAAATTCAAGGCGCTGTGACAGATAGCTTGTGTCTTAATGAAATTTAGGTAAATTCTATCAGTATTAGGGCTATTAAATTAATTAACATTGGCAAACATAGGGAGAATAAAGAATAGAGATTGTGACTTATAGCTTTAACTCCAAGTTTATTTTTACTAAAAATCAAGGAACTAACTACACGAGTATTTGTTCATATGGGTTACAAAACATTTGTCTACTCGATTTCTTATAATTACTCCTAACAGCTAACACTATATTCCAATTTTTAAGTCTAACTGAAACTCCTAACCTTGAATCCGAATGTAAATCTTACCCCAAAATCTCTGGCAGAACTCTTAGTCCTTATTGGATTTTATGTAAGAAATTAGTTATTTATATCATCTGTTTTCTTGTTGACTAAAAATCGGCTTTACCCTCTCAAGGTCATTTACGAGCCTCTGAAAATTTATAAATAAGCTTCCCAGATACAGCATAAAGCTATGTAGTCTGCACAATCATTTTTTAGACTTCAGGAGGTAAGTAAACAATATCTGATAGCTCTGATTTGTCATTTATATCAGCCTCCCTTTCTTTTTTTGTTCATCTTAGCTTACTGCTATTGATGATTTTTTCTTTGTTTAGTTTTTTTTTCGTCTATCGATTTCTTCAGGGTCAGCTAACTCAACTGATACGGCTTGAACGGATTCATTTACCTGTCAGGTCAAAATGAAGTACAGTTAAAAAAACGTAAGATATTTCAAGGCCTGCTGAGTTTACAACTAAGAATAAAAAGCAAACTCAAGTGCATATTACAAACTGATTGTACACTTTATTTAAACAAATACAACTGCAAACTTGTTTAAATAATATATTAATTAGGTTTTCATAAGAAACGCTTTACGCTTACTACTATTTATGATGTATGGAATTTCAATAAACATCTGTTTCTTTCTACTCTACCAGCATATTTTTATCAGACATGTTTTGTATTTTCTGCTGAAAAAATATTTTCAAACTAAAAGTCTTCTGAATTGAGACGATGATCTTACTATCCAAGAATGAGTCGAAGACAGAAATAAAATCTCTACTTAAAAAGAACTTTGACTTATGAACGTACGCATTTGAGACCAAGAGAAAACATGAATAAAACCATCGACTGAACTGTATAATAATTACGCAAAATTATAAATTACTAAACATTTAAACAATGTTACCTAGTAAACTGTATTCTAGTGATACCAGATGATTATGAAAGCTTAAAATAAGAGAAATTTGACAAGAAGCATCGTTTTGAAATTCTGAAACTAAGAACTATAAATCCATTGCTTCGTGTTGTTTCAGTTGTGTATGAATACAGTTAGGATAACAAGGTTTTGCAATATTATGGTTAGTAAGAGTTAATAATCTTATACTACTAAACGAGACTGATCAAATGCAGTCCTAAACATCAATGGAACGATCCAAACAACTAATATCTATATAAATTAGAATTTACATCATTGAACAAGCCAGTAGCTAAATGCTTTTAACTGTGACACAAAAAAACTCTACAAATAATGCCTACCCTCTTGATACTTCCAAATTACTACCAATTTTCTTTAGAATATCCTCGGATCCAATGATACCAGTAAATATATAAACAAGCTAAAAAAGAGACAGTAAAGAGAATTTAAACGAAATTTATTAAACATAAAAATCTATGATTCATTAACTCATGGTTTACCAGATACTTGGATATAGGGCCACACTTTAAATGTAAGGGCTAATGATACTACCCTGTTTTTTAAACCGAAGTAGGGTTTGGACCTAAACTCTAGTGGTTAAAAGTCGGACACTCTAACCGATAAACAACCACTGCATCAGAGACGATAAAAAAATCATAAATGTGACTCAGTGGCCAAATAACGATGTTTGGTATTAAGCAGCATTTATGGTGTGACAAATAATGATACCAATCTGTTACTAAAAAAAACGGAATTTAAATCTGCTGGTTGAGAACCGAGTTTTTTAACCAAGAAACAAGTTTTTCGTTTTTAAAAATTTTTTAAATGGTTCTAATTCGTTCAGTGAAAAATACTTGATAAGTATATGTTTATGTGTTTCACATTGTTTGTGTGAGATCTAATGATACGTACAGCTGTCCAAACCCAGTTAGGTGTAGAAGAGTTCGTACGCCCGGGAAGTATCACATCTCTCACACAAATTAGTGATAACTACTGCTGGCCTCATTGTTAATGTGTGGCGTATATGTATTTGGTGCCCCCTTGTACCAATACCTTTATCAGCTAGAAACATGACAAAGTCGTCCGAATAACGAAGTAACAAAAGCACCCCGATAAACTGGAAGATATTAGTAGACTAACCCTATCATCAATCATTTATGGAACGTTACCAGATTGATTTCATACTGTTCTGCGAAATTGTTTTGATTTTAAGGTGGTTCGATAGACAGAAATAAACAAATCAACTACCACGAATGAGAATTACTCAGAATTGTTACATGTTTCACCAAAAGAGACGAAGATAAAATTACTAGCCAGAAAGACAAAGAGAAAGTCATTATGACCGACAGTGGTGAAAAACTACAAATAGAAAAGTGATAAGTTAGGATAGGAAAGTTAAATCACGAGTTTTGCCTAACTTAATATAACATTTCATACTTACTGAATTACTTACGCCTGTTACTCCCAATGGATCATAGGCCGCCGACCAGCATTCTCCAACTCACTCTGTCCTGGGCCTTCTTTTCTAGTTCCATCCAGTTCTTGTTCATTTTTCTCATATCTGTCTCCATTTCTCCGCGTAATGTGTTCTTTGGTCTTGCTCTCCTCTTTCGGCCTTCAGGATTCCATGTGAGGGCTTGTCTTGTGACGCAGTTCGGTGCCTTCCTCAATTTGTGTCCTATCCACTTCCAGCGCTTCTTCCTGATTTCTTCCTCCACTGGGATCTGATTTGTTCTCTCCCACAGTAGGTTGTTGCTAATAGTGTCTGGTCAACGGATTCGAAGTATTTTGCGTAGACAACTGTTAATAAACACCTGTATCTTCGGGATGATGAATTTCGTAGTTTTCCAGGTTTTCGCCCCATACAGTAGAAGTGTCTTGACATTTGTGTTGAAAATTCTGACTTTGGTGTTGGTTGCTAATTGTTTTGAGTTCCAGATATTCTTCAGTTGTAAATATGCTGCTCTTGCTTTGCCAATCCGTGCCTTCACATCTGCATCAGATCCACCATGTTCATCGATGATGCTGCCCAAATATGTAAAGGTTTTTACATCTTTCAAAGCATGCTGTGTTGTATCGGAGAATCTTGCTTTTCCCTTTGTGTATATTGAGACCTATTGCTGCTGGGGGTGCTGCTACACTGGTCATCTTCTCCTGCATTTGCTGTTGTGTGTGCGATAGAAGAGCCAGATCATCTGCGAAGTCTAGATCATCCAATTGCATCCTAGCTGTCCACTGTATCCCGTGCTTCCCTTCAGATGTTGACGTCTTCATGATCCAGTCGATCACCAGAAGAAAGAGAAAGAGTGAGAGTAAGCAACCTTGCCTGACACCGGTCTTTACTTCGAACGATTTTGTCAACTGTCCTCCATGCACGATTTTGCAGTTTAATCCATCATAGGAATTCCCTATGATACTGACTATCTTCTCAGGCACGCCGTAGTGTCGAAGAAGCTTCCATAGGGTTGTTCTCTCCACGCTATCAAATGCTTTTTCATAGTCAATGAAGTTGATATAGAGTGATGAATTCCATTCAATTGATTGTTCCACAATGACCCGTAGAGCTGCGATTTGGTCTGTGCACGATCTATCTTTACGGAATCCTGCCTGTTGGTCGCGAAGTTGTGCGTCTACGGAGTCCTTCACCCTGTAGAAGACTTTTCTTGGCATTGAGAGAAGAGTGATTCCCCTGTAGTTGTCACAGTTGCTGAGATCGCCTTTCTTTGGTATTTTGACTAGAAGTCCTTCTTTCCAGTCTTTTGGTACCTGTTCCTCAACCCAAATCTTTCTGAAGAGAATTTGGAGTATCCTTGCAGTTACCGCCACGTCTGCTTTCAGTGCCTCTGCTGGAATGATGTCTGGTCCTGCTGCTTTGCCACTCTTGATTTGTCTGATAGCCATGCTGATCTCTTCAATTGTTAGTGGGCCAGCATCGATTGGGAGGTCCGTGAGTGCTGCTTCGATGTTGGGTGGGTTCAGTGGGGCTGGTCGATTCAAGAGTTCTTTGAAGTGTTCTACCCACCTGTTTCGTTGTTCTTCAATGTTGGTGATTATCTTGCCTTCCTTGCTTTTCACTGGTCGCTCTGGTTTACGGTGATTTCCAGAGAGTTTCTTTGTTGTGTCATACAGTTGTCTCATGTTTCCTTCTCTGGCAGCCTTTTCCGCCGTCATGGCTAGTCGTTGTTGTCCAACTTGCGTCCAATGTGTTTCACTGATCCCAAGCACTTCTAAATTGCATCTCCTCATTTCTGCAGCAGTTTGGAAAACTCTCCCAGTCTCCCACATTGTGCGAGCATTCCATGTACCTTAATAAATGGTTGCTCAGAAGGGGAATCGGCCTCGTGACTTTCGAAGAAACTCGGCTTTCATCATGAGGCGTCATAATTCTTTTAAACGAAGACCTCCTGACTCCCAGGGCAGAGTTTAAATGGTTTGAATAATTTTTTCTGGTTGGTGTTTTTTTAACGAGTTAGTTTTCTACGGGGATGGGGTCGCTAACCCCATGCCCAACCGTCCTCCTTTATCCGGGCTTGGGACCGGCAGTAGCCCCCCGAAAGGGATTCCAGGGATCAGTCCTATAGTACGTATCACCAGGACGTCAAACAAACATTTCATAACACTAGTTTTATTCCCAGTGCAACAGTTAGACATTGTTTTTATTCACAATATATTTATTTAGTGTGGCATTGGTTTTAGCATCAGTGTAACATGTTAGTCAGTAAGATATTGGGGGTTATAGCTTTTAATGAATTTGTAGCTGATATTAGTTCGTAGTGAGAACCATCGTCAAAATCCTTATAACAGGAGACCGAAATTGATGTCGTAGTGGTCTTTGTTGCAAGTGAATGGGTGAATCAAAATTACTGAGTGCAATCTTATTGATCGGGACGCCAGAAAATCACCATTTACATTAACAATTAAACAGTAACTAACTTTATCAGCTGTTATAATGATAACTCCTCCTGTGGAAGCTGAATCACTTTGTGGAAATTCTTCGGCTGAAATTATTTCACGCAGAGGAAGAATAATCTTAGTGCTTTCACCCTGTACATTTTAAATTATAACAACATAACAGTTACTAAAAACATGAACTAAAAGTTACATTTGCTAAAGACTGATATTAGAATGCAAAGAAGAAAATGTGTTAAAAAATTTTTTTGAATATATCCAGACAAATGTAGAATATTTGTTTACCTAGAAACTTGTGATACCAACTAGTCATATGTTATACCCCCCCCAGGTTTTGCTAAGTAATGAATAAGCCAAAACGCTCTAATAATATACTTATCGAATTAAACTGACTAGTTTATCACAAACAGACAAAAAGACTTATGATTTTCGAACTCCATTAATATAAGATACTGAGGATATAATTGCGATATATGTTATAACATCATGATTGGTAGGCAAAACAACATAAAACTGAAAAGCTATAAAATAATGATAATGTGAATTGCACGGTATTACAATCACAGTTGAAAAAAAAGACATAGCTTTCTCTTAAATCTAATATTCATGTTCGTTTGGTTACTGTAACTATGTATCAGTTGAATTATTCAGGGGTTACACATTTCTTGGTGACGAACATAAATTTCTACTAATAACCTATCAAACATTAGAGTGATAAGAAATATTTTAAGAGTAAATTGGAAAACACTTTTTGTAAGGAGAGGTCTTATTAGTTATATTTCTGTAAGTGATGCTAATAAATAGTCATAAAAGTTGAAGATTTAGTAAAACTTAGGAGGTATAAAAAAGTTGTTTCATTCTATCCAGAGATTCTTTGTGATTTCTAGAATAAACTACGTATTCTTTAGTGAAAGCAACACACATATCATTCAAAGATATGATTAATCAAACAGTGAGTTGGTACAAGTTTCAATCTATTAAGTTTTTGAAATATGAATTGGTATTTTAAAGGCCGATATTTTTAAGGGAGTTAGATAGTTTTGGATCTAATCTAGAAAAGACACCATGTTCAAAACCTGCTGATGAGTTCTGTAATAAGATTAAAAGTAAATTCTTAGTATTCAGTGGTTTGTAATAATTATTTCTTTAGTGCCTATTCATGAAAACAAATCAGCTAAAACTTTGTCAGAAGTCCACAATTTATCACATCAAAATGAATTGCAAATGCCAGCATTTTTACAAAAACGGGAATGAACTAAAACAGACCACACAGATATTGACCTAATCTCTTTATCATTGCAGGCAATATAACATCATTGTTTAGAGTATAATGAGTGTCAAAGAGGAAACCAATACATAATTCAGTGATAGATTACACTTTCCAATCAAGTCAGCTGGTTTCTCAATTTTGCAGATTATGATATACACATTAGACCACTGATTAACTGTGAGCATAATTCATTCAAATTTATAGTTAGATTAAACATTTGAAATGATATGTCAGTTATTATGATTATCAATGTCGTTTAGTTATCAACTAAAAAATACAATAGTGTTCTGCACTTTTTTCCTTGTGTCAATATAGGAGTCTTGTTCCATTGTAGTCAATAGTAGGTAGCAGGTAGTAATTATTCCACAGTCATGGTAGACAGCTGTATCAGTATCAGGAATCACTATTTAATTCAGGTAATGACACTGTTCCAAATCATTACAAAGTCTAATTAATTGAAAATTCACTGAACAGATAAATAAACTAACCGACGAACAGTAGCAAATAAATTGAGGAGACAAAAACATCTTCCCAGAAATAGTTTCAGTATTATCCAACCGTTGCAGTTTACAATCAAAAGAAGTTTCTATAATTTCATATGCAGGTAAATGAAACGAATCTTGAAAATGTTGACTACGGATTAGTACATCCAACTTATCCAATAAATTGGACGAGTTCTGAGTAAGTAAACTGATAAAAAAAGAAAGAGGGAACATAGATACTTGTGACTAAGTGATTTGATATGAGAGAAAATGATAAAATTTAGCATTTGTTATTTTGGCTTAGTTAAAATAGAAATTTTGAAGAATTTTTCACCTAAATACTATACTTAAGAAACTACTGGAAAGTTGAGAAGTTCTGTTGCATTTTTTCTAACTTATCAAAGTCGAACTGTGGATAGCAGTAGAATACAGAAAGCACGTCTCATTAGTCAAAAGTACTTGCATTCCGGTTGTAATGTTCAGTTTGGGACTCGAATACAGTACTTTTCACTTTAAATGATTATAAATTGAAAATTAATTTGTACACATTACATTATTCAGGTAGGCATATCTATTGAAAGTTCAACACAACTAAAAACCAGTCACATAGAGCTTCCTTGTGAATATTTGTTTACGGTCACTCACATCTCAGAAGTAGCATTTCTGATCCACACATCTAATAGAATGCATGAAGCTTTGAGTTGCAATACACTTCCTGAAACAGCATATATGCAATGTTGATGAAAACTTTGAAGCGTACTTACAGAACTGAAGATACTTGGATTCATGTTGGAAAGTAAACCTGAATTCATCTCCATCATCCCATACTGAAAGAACTTTAAGTGATTACTAATATCCGCGCAAATCGTAATTTATAAAATTACATGCATAATAGAAATCGTTTAAGAGGGAGACATAGTATTTAAACTAGCAATAAAAAAATATTCAGATAAAATTGTTATCCAGAAAACTCATTTTGTAATCTATTACAATCATTTTTAACAAGTGAGTTTCAGAGTTATATGATTTCGTAAAAGCTAAAGTATGTTCATCAAGGTTTTAAGGGTGTATTCATGGGCAGTGTTCGAGATGTAAGGTGTTTCGGTAACAAAGTACGCCTCATGGAAACCACACAACAGATCCAAGGTAAATAGATAAGGGACATTAAACAAATCTGTGAATTATAAAACTCCTTCATTAATGATGCGAAGTATATGGAAGCATAAATAAATCGCTTACATTTTTAGATGTAAATCGAACTGCGACCAACTTGTATAACAGTCATCGACCAAGAGCCTGATGAATTTAGAAAGTAGAAAAAACTGAGTATTTTTTTGGAACAAAAAATACGAGTGACAAGATCAACCTGGCTTTAGAAAAGCTTAAGCCATGGTTTAGTAGTCTAGGGTTGTTAAAATTGAATTGTATTTCATTTACTAGCCTAGGCAAGTGTGTAGTTTATCATACGTAATGTGATTCAAATAACTCTATTGCATTGATCAGAATAAGTCCCGTCTTCTCTTTCATTACTTCAAGTTGATTTAGTTATTACAACTAAATTCAGGCAAATAATGAGCGAAAAAAACAGTGCAAACAACGTAGTATTAATCACTTATCTGTTAGGCAATAGGTGGAAGTTTGCATATAGATTGTTTAAGAAAACTGATGGTAATAACATGTTTTCCAGTTCACTTTAGGGCAACAATCAATACATCAGCTAAATGATTCAGTCAATTTACCTGTCATTTAAGAGGTTGAAGAACAAACATCAAACTTCATCTTCAGTATTTTGATAAGATTATCAACTAAGAAGCCACACACACCCATATGCTCTGAACAACACAAAACTCTCTCCAACCCATCACCATTTCTTATCTTTATGGTGTCGTTTATTGACTACTACCTAATATTTATAACAGCATCATTGTATTTCATACTATCGTTTGAAAGACGTTTTCGCAGTATCTGATCTCAAATGCAGTAGCAAACAAGTAAAATATGTCACTAAAAACGCCGTAATCGAACTTAGACAACAGACAGATAACAGAAGACTGTGATCAGGTAAATGTAATCAGTGCTGTCCATGAACAACACCAAACTTTATCACCCACATCCAGATTTCTGAAGTAAATTGACAAGTAGGTGGTTTTTGTCAGCCTCTCTGGCATCGAATAATCGTTTGGGTTCTCTGATTAATCTACAGCCTATATGTAGATTTTATCACACGAAAACGCCACATCTTCTGAATATCCCGAACAAAAACTTGAGGGTGCTTGGTATCTTTTAAATACGTACACGTAAAATGGTGTTTCAGAACTGTTTGTAATAACTTGCTTTAAAAATAAAGAACTAATTGGTTGGATTTCTAGACCCTTTTCTTTATCATTATGGTTGTATCACACTAATATGTTGACCACTAACAATATTTCAGCACTCGCCAATCTACAAAAGTTGACACCGAAGTCCGAAACAATGAAGTAACACTTTAGATTTAGAAAAGACCATAGATTAATTATTACGATAATAAGCTAACCTACTATTCCTCATGGTGGATTATACTGAGAACAAACTAAAGCACAAAAATCAAATAACAAATGAAAAAGAACCAGAACAATAAAACGTTTTTCTAGATATACTCATCATAAAGTTAAACGGTTAACCTACTGTCTAACACCATAATTAGCCAATTGCAAAATCATATGAAGTGCTTCATCGGAACCTGCTGGGATAACAAAGCGATACTGAAAAATATTTAAAAGATAAGATCATTGAATAGTTAGCGAGGACAAATTTTAAGTGATTTGTTCTACAGTATCTCGTGCTTTTAATGTTACACTTTCATTTGGTATTTGTTGTTGTTTCGTAGGTTTTCGCTAGTTATCTAATGAGGGATCACTTCTGAGAGCTTTATAATTATCAAGGCAGTATTATTTAAGTTCGTTAGTGTGTCTCAATCAGTGCACATTATTCACGAAATATGGAATATATCCTAAAGAAAAATATAAGGCAGAAAATACTTTGGGAATAGAATGATTTACATCCAGAAGATTATTGGGTAAAATCCAGATCAAAGTAAACAGTAAAATTTTTAAAGTCGCTAAACTTATTACTATAGTCAGTTATATAGTGACTCTATATTCGCCTGTAAATAAAGATTTTCCTTTGATTGACAAAACTGACCAAACCAGAAATAAATAAGACAGTAGTGAAATATACTTGACGGAAAATGAACCGGAGCACAAATGGGGACGACACTCAATCACCTAGTAACCAACATACAGATTGATAGCTAAGTATAATTTGTCTGTATCAGAAGTATTTTGGTTTTGAAGCTCACTATTGTAATGTTTATGACAACAATGAGTATATCAAACAATATTTTTAGACAAAATAACCATTTTCATACACCTTTACATATATTTTGGAAGAAGATATCTTAAGACTATCTTTCAAAAGAACGGCTACCCAATCAACATCAAAAGATATCAATCCAATGCATCAAGCCGAACCAAAATCAAGTAGAGAAACCAACAAACGGAATATTTTACAATATATATAAAAGACAAGAAATTATAACGAGATTATTGGAGTCGTTCGGAATAGTTGTAGCACACAACCTTGCAAAACCACTTCAATCAATCTTATGCAACCCAAAGGACTAAATGACAAAAGAAAAACCGAATATCATTTACAAAATAAACTGTTGCAACTGCGAAAACACTACATAGGAAAAAGTGGATGGCCCCTTCAGCTTCGCCAGCATGAACATCGATTAGCAGTCAAACGCCATGACATATCCCTGCTTCTATCAATGCATGTGGACAACTGTGGACACACATGCGACTAGGGAAATGTTGAGGTCGTAGATAGAGGGGATACTAAAAGCATCATTCCGTGCTCCCTTGTACCAATATTTGTATTCAAATAAATAAATAAATAATAAAAGCACCAGAGAATTTTTAGAATCTTGGCACTCAGGTTAGTCGGTAATCAACAAACTTACTGTAATCGATTCAATCTATCAGCCATTCCGAAAAATCATGGACAAATATGGGACTCAGAATCAAATCAATGTGAGATACTATCAGAATAAAGTAGACAATGACAGGTTAAAGGTCAGCAATGATCAATCAGATCGAGGTCGACAGGATAAGGTACGGGTCATATATGGAAAAATTCGAACACTTCACTTCTACCTGAAGTTTGTGCTGATGTAGTTCACAAGAACGACCAAACCATCCAGATCAGAGAACAAAACTCCGCCTAAAGATATTATCCACCTAAAATTTTCGGTAGCTGCAGTGATTATTTGGTCAACTAATATGTAGTAGAATACTTAACGTCCTTTACTTCAGAAGAGCTCGCGACAATTTAAAGAATTAACAAGAGAGTTTGTAACAAGAAGGGGCCATCGAACCAAACTCAGCTGATAATGCCCTGATATTACATATGATTAAATATTAGGTTCAACCTCAGCAGAGGTGTTAAGATTAGGCTCATAATACTACGCACAACAAGACGTATATATACACTTAACCGTTGATTAAGCACAGTAAGTAAAGATGTGAATAAACTACAAAGTATAACAAACTATAAACAACATTAGAACATACCATACTTTTATCGAAATAGAACGGTTGATTCTCTAAATATTAGACAAAACTTACTGTCTGATTGCGTGTTTGTACACAAGTTTTGTACAATCGTGATTGGAAGACAGACTATAATACTGAGATTAAACAAAGACATGGACATACAGTAATGTGAATCCAGGGTGTGCATACTTTGGTACCAAATACGTTAGGATAAAAGCATAAGTAATTCAAAGTTAGGATCATCCAACCCGGACGTGACTCCTTCCCACTGACGAGAAAACAAAAATAATCTACAAAGATTCGAGTTACAAAGATGTCTATTCTTACGAATCACTTCTCTTTCCTTAAACGGAAAGTTGAATATTTGGCGAAGTTTCTCTGGTGTATAGCTGCCACTTTCTAAAGATTAATCTATACAATCAACTTACTATCCTCCATTTTTCCAGGGTGAAAATCTTTAGAATCTCAAATACATGGAAGAAGGTACCAATTTCATTTTTACAGCATAACAATTATTATCAAAGATACAAATTCGATGAGTTGTTGGGTGAAATGAACATTTGTTGGGTGTAGATTATTTTTCGACCAAAAGAGATAGGTTTCACAATAGCTATAAACAGATGAAGCGCAAAGCGAAAACATGGGGGGGGGGGTAAAGCAGCGAGTTTTGAAGTTCAAATGAAGACAACCAAAAGAAGTATTAACAACATTCATTTGTGTTGCGGCACTACCAGTGAGATGCTTGATGAATAAACTTTACTGCAATTGCTGTGACTCCAATATTTACACTAACATAAAAAAACAATAGAAACTTTAAGGTGTATAGTGATCTTAAACCCAGTTTTACAGAACGCGATACCATGTATGTACCACGATTGCGTCCGATGTAAAACACCCACGGCATTTTTTAATGAACAAATAAACAGAATGCATATCTATGGTATTTTGCATCTCATCACATTCATAAAATGAAACACGCCTGACAATTTGTTGGGCTGAAAAACGTCACTAACTTGAGTTATGAGTTGCTGAGGGTTCCAAAACGAATACGTTTAGCTCATGCAACTTATTTACATAAGTGTCTGTTTATGTACTCACCTGTGAACGATATATACTTACTCTACATGCTAATTATTTTATTTGGCTGTGCAAGTCAGAATAAATCTGAACCCTCATACGTTTTTACACAAACCAGCTACCATTTTACAGCTCCAAATTCAGTACGATGAACGAGAATACTATGTTTTTCTTCCCTGATCCGTTGACTAGTGAGAAATCCAGTTTGCATGGGGGATTTGTAGGTCAAAATCCCGAAAGAATAACGTCCGTATTCAAGTTAACCAGTTATGTATCGATTAAAACACATGATTTGTGAATTGAGTTATTATCACTGAACACAAATCGTAGAGAAAAAAAGCGATGTGAATCACAAAAACTAAATAAAAATGGAATACACGTAAATTCACTTAGAACAGCTTGAATCTACGAAATGCGTTGAATTTGACTGGAGGAAAATCACAGACTGAACTGAGAAATAAGGACTGACTTTTATCTTTTCATATTACATTTAGGGACTACACATCAACAAACCAGTGATAAGGTAGTTTGAAATTCATTTTTTCTGTCATGTCCTTATCAATAATCATGGGTATTAAGCTGTGACTATAGATAGTTTCGATCCTGAAATAAGTTCACTATGCATTTTGAAGAATAAAAGGAAGTTTAGGGATTAATGTACATTACTAAGGTAAAGGCATGGCCTGACATCATAGCCGCCCGGCGAAATATTTTGGCCACTTGAATGTGGAACTAAATGTGACTATGAAACCCTAAAATAGTATTTGCTGTCATATCTGAAAACCATTGCGGAAATATCGTCACTAACGTAGTAGCCACTTTGATGTGTTGACGAAAGACAACCCCAAAATAGCAGTAACGAACTGAATCCCATATTTGCATGTATTTACAACATCTTGTTTGAAAACATAAGTGGTTGAGGTGTAGGAAATAGATACATGTATACGAAAGATAACAATTACTTAAATAATGTAGATAAATCTGAATTCACAAGACTTCAGAAGTTCATAAATATTAAAACACCTTGATGTATTGAATTATTTAGAAGAGGACAAGTGTCCTACTTCATTTGTAAAGAAATATGGAGAGAAAACTAACTATACGTTATATATGAATAAAACCATAGGATCTTCCTACTTAGACATTCAAATATGAATATAGTGTTGGATACTTTTTTTCTGGTTGAAATTAAAATAATAGGAAGATTTGTTTTTCATAAACATGATTCACTTAAGAATGATACTAGAGAACAACTACTCAAATGCCCAGTTGAGTAAAGACGCAACGCTCACATCTGAAACGAGAGCGTCTCCAGATGACATTACATTGTTTCAATAACTAACGATCATTCAAGTTTATTAAAATATTTAATGCATTTAACATATGTGAACCCAATTTTGATGGAATTGAAAGAAAACTTACTAAATGGATCTATTTAAGAAACTATCTTTAACCATTCATTGCAAATTTATATCATCCTAAAGTTTGTGCTGATGTTGTTCGGAAGAACAGTAAAAGTTCCATTACTGAAACATCCAGCTTGGAAGATGAATTTCCATTTAGTTATTTCATCTTTTTGACAAAAGGTGTTCAGTTTGTCACCTTTCCGTAGCCTGATTTTAGGAATTATCAACATTATCTCTTTTGGGTCCATCTTGTTAAATTTTGGTACTACAGTATGGTAGTAAAATATTAAGGCGCAAGAAATTACGATGATGATTTGAGTAATCACTATCGTTTCATAGCGCTTAGTTAATATTTGTGCTTTTGATTGTGTTCTTTTGTGGTTTTATAATAAGTTGGCATCAAGTTGCATGGTTGCGGTTGTAGGATCATAATTTCTTTGTAACGTCTGTAGACAACGCAGACACGTTAGGGAACAGTTTAATGCATTTTTGAAAGAAAATTATTATGAGGTACGTGTCAAATCCATATTAAGTCAGCATTTAAGAGGGTACCATGTAGAAACTGACTCTTCATAATAGAATTCTCAATATTGACTCTACGTGGTAAGTTAGAGGAATGAGGGTTACTACTTTATTATGTATAATTTGTCAGGAAGGTGACCAATCACATCCTATTGAAAACTCAAGTCACATATGCCAGTTAAAGTTTCAAATATTCTCATGTCCCCCCGTTTATGAGCTAAACACGCTTTATAAACGGTCACCATTACGAGACAAAAAGTGGACAATTTGAGTTCTGCGTAGAAATAATAATAAAAAAAGTCAAATCGTTTCAGTAGCTAATAACTCTCAGAGTAGTCTAATTTCAGGCCATTTCGTCAAACGTAATACAGAATCGCTTTTGTAGCATAGTTTAGAATAAGCTGATTAATACTAAAATAGACAGCAGAAATTGAAATGAACATACCTGGGTCCTCAACATGTGTTTTGTCTATTTCGCACACAGTTTGGTATCTCTGTACAGAAAGATTTCATCTACCTCGCCTTACTGGTTTTGTAATTTTGCGAAAGATACTGGTGCAATAATTATTCGGAGTTTGACAATACTTTAACCAGTAACACTTTTTGTAATAAAAACTTGACAACTCAGTGAAATCATAAGTCAGAAGCAAAGATGCTCGAAGATATATTTGATAAAATATCGACGTATCGAGATGTGACTAATTTAAAATGGTTAGCAATTGTGGGAGAAGTGAAGGACGAAGTACTCACTAGTGAGCTGGTCCGGATGCATAACCGTGCGCCTTCAGCTAGGTGAGCCCACCAAACTAATGAAGTCAGCATTAAATGTCGAAGACATATCGGGCTATTGATTTTAGGGGTTTATTTACCGCTACGCAGTATTAGTTATTTGTTATTTGCAACGTCTTGACAATTTCTACATGAGAATCGGAATAAGAGGGTTTCAGGGTAGTGCTCACTTTTTTCGCACTATAATTCTGAGTTAATCAAGATGTCAATAAGGAAAGTTATTCTTAATACATTCTTAAATTTTCAATTTTGAGGAATGAGCTTCTTAATTAGTGATGAGGAATCCACAAGTTGTAGTTGAAGATATCTCATCTCTGGTTAGCAAAGGACAATATTCGAGAATAGGAAGTTGGTGAACAAAAGTGCTCGTAATGAAAGCTTGTGTACGTTATGTTATAGCATTGGAATTTAATGACTTCAACTTTCGGACTGAAATGACAGATTCGATACTATGAGTGTGAACAATAAAATGGAGAAAAGCACCAGTGGATAAACGTGACCGTTTTTAAATATGAAGTGAATTATCCGAAGTTAATAATAAGTATATCACTTGATTGATAGAATTACCGAACATAATAAAATCTAACTTACTCGGTTTATTATCAGTGGTAACAAAATAAACAGTAGCTCTCCAGAAACACTTGACGTGTCATGATTAGGTGCCTATGATTTGCGTGATAGAGCTTGCCATATGATAAGCATTTGCCAAACTCATGCTCACATCCATATAATCCTTCGCAATTCTTCAATGAATTGTCCTTAATGTTTGCACGAAGACGACGAACGTCGTTAATTAAACCTCTATATATGTAATTTTGATTCGTACAGCAAACTGATGTAGTAAAATCTTATTTACATGAAAACTTTTTCATTTGAAGGTGTATCTAACTGTCCAGTCACAGGTTCCAGCGTGATGCAAATATGATCATTAGAAGTAGTCAAATCAATTTGATAACCAAGAGTTCTCAAGGTGGTGCAATTTAAGGCGGGCGGGGCTAGATGAGTTCGACTGAATGCTTCATATTTGTAATTCGTAATGAGTGCATAATTAAATGTAAAGGAATCATCAATCAATACGAATACCATAATGATATCTTAAAAGCTTTGTCCGAAGTATCCCTCTATCTCTATCTGTCTATCTATCTATTTATCTGATAATAATATTCTGTTACTCTATTGATGTGTAAATACTTTGGGTGCGTTGACTAATTGACAGTGTGTACAGCTTGAATCCATCTCATTACATAACAGATTAGACTAGTACGTATTACCTATTATGTCTGTGAATCAATTAAATTCTAATGAGCCTTCCGCTAGGATCTTATTATATATTTCGAACGTACTTACTAGCTGCTCGTACATTGGACAACCTGTAACCTGATAAATAATCTTGCGGTCTAGTGACTCGAGCATGCACATAAATCGTCAGTCTAAGCAGTCCAGTAGATCTCCTGGGGGCTGATGGCTCCACGTTAGCAACTACCTCAACGTTAGCAATGCCATCTTAGATATAAGTTTAGAGTCACACTCCCGGTAGTAAGAACTTATGTTCACCTCATTTGTGGTCAGAAATCATCGTTTTCCATCTTTTCAATGACAATCGTAACCGAAATTTAGTTATTGTTTTTTGATCGATGAACATTAATATCACGTTCATATATACACCGAATATTCGACGTCGCATTGGTAACCTATTATTATTATTATTTTCATCTTATCTATTTCTTCACATGCATAACTGAAACTTACACCATTCATTAACCATAAACAGTATTTGATTGCTTCAATTAATATTCTATTCCCACCAAACTGTAAATCACAACACAGAATTTAAAGCTAGTTTCTCAATGATGCACTCCCATTCGTCACATCCAAGTCAGTTTCACCCACCTGTCATGAACAATCATATGTGTTAGTAGATCAATTTCCGTTATATTCTATCTGTGGTATCCGAAGAGGATTAAACTATGGGTTTATTCCGGGGGCTATTTATTAACTAATATTATATATATTGTAAAACCACTGAGTAACTGAATAATGCATATTTATATTTCTGTTATCATAAGCTTTCATTTGATCTACTGGCCAGTGTTATACGGTTTTCCATTCTTAACGTATTCACAACTTATGAGCTACCGTACCCTAGCTTCACAACCACTTTTGGCTTGACCTTGTATAATAATTATTTTTCATTTTATGGTGTGATACGGTCCAACCTGAAATATATGATTTATATTGCGGAGGCTGATATTTGTGTTTTGGACTGAACCGGTGTGGTTAGACGAGAAGCTGAGATATAGTGGATCAATAAACACTCAGAGTCGACTCAGTGCTGGTTGTTTTGGTTAATGCGTCATTGGGTTAGCACAGGATGAAGATCATATCCGACGGTGTCCTGAGTGGCGATTTTGTCACATGATAGTTGACGGGCTATAGAATATAACCCCACTTATTTTCACTATTTATTACGCTGTCATACCCGTTAACGTTAAATGATTTATCACTCTGTTCTCATAGTAATTTGAATTGCTCATGAGAACGTTTCTTCTTATCGCCCAGACGGTCATGATGTTTAACGACATTTTTCGTCTCCCTATTTATTTTCTCATAATCGCATGCTAACATTTCCTTGTTGTTCGCGTCTTTATGACATTCGTGTATTTTGTTTACACAGGTATGACATTTGCATATTATACACTCACCTCGTATGTGACACTACTCTATCAGAAGTAGTATGTTACATTTTCGCTACCTATTATGAACATCTACAGATAGTTTTCTTGAAATTAATGTGTTATTTCTTACAAAAGGCTTTGTAGTGTCTAGTACCATATCAAGTTCACATGAGTTTTATAGTTTCTGGACAGACAAATTTATTCATTCTTTTTAAGTCATCTCCTGACCATGTTCATTATTCGCATGTTAAATGCTCATCCTATTCATTCTGTTACTTAATTTTGTCTGACCATATGTGTTGAGTCACGCTTTAAAAAAACGGTTAGGCTCACTCTCCTTCTCTGCCTTACTTCGCTTTTCCGCTTCTTGTTCTGAATGTTTGTCTGGATATATGAATGCTTGAAATAAATTCATCCGACGCAACCCGTATTTGGCTTCCTAGAACTACCGTCACACAAACAGGGTTAGCTCGGGTAATTTAAATAGTTAAATGAAACGTATATGTTCACAGCATACTCATACATTTGTAGCATGGTGTCAAGTTGAACTTGACTATGAACACCGCTACAAGACTACGTGCCAATAGACCAACAAGATTCCGGTTGGCCAAAAATCAGAAGGCAGATGATAGTAGTAGTTGTAATATATTTGTTGGCAATCTCGTGTTATCGAAAGAATACCGAGGTCGTGCCAAAAGAGTACAGATGCGATCGGCAAGAAAAGGTACGTGCGTAGTCGAAAACCGCGTAGAAGTAATGGAGTACAATGGAAGACCAAAAATGGCTGTTATTAGCACAGTTAAACAAACGAGCACAATAAAACAATCACTGGTACAATTGGTTATAATAATAATTGTTTTCAACGAACCAATCGCGTTCTGTTGACAAAAGTAGGTCACTACACTTTCGATTGGTAGCGGT